TGTACCATTGTTGTCAACCTTCTCCAGTGAAACTCTTGCCAATTTGTCCCGTGAACTAGCAAGGAGTGTGTGCACTAGGAAAACGACTAAGGACAAACGAACGCAGAGATCACACGAGCACCCATGCCTAGCCCGTAGTCTAGCTCCCGTTGTAGTAGTTATGTCCGCACCTACTCATATTGCCGCCTTTCCCTGGGCCGAACCGTTCATATCACCTCCATACCCCATACAAGCACAATTCCCTGTGCTCCTCAGGTGGAGGACCTAATCAAAGCAAGGAAAGCAGACCAACTCAAGGACCCCCGATTGGACATTATATTTGATTTTGCAGATGGCACAGCTGGCGCTGTGCTGTATGGCCATGCCAACTGTGTCTCGTCCCGACATGATCCAGGTGGTGTCTGAGCTGACGGCACTCAGGAAGGCGTATTTGGGAGAGGTGGCAACTAGGATGGCTGTGAGGATAGATGAGAGGTGGAGATGTAGAGGTTTGGGTGGTTCGAAGATTAAATTGCTGATGTAAAGCGCATGATGATGGGAGGGAGTATTGGTATCAGCGCCATGAAGTGATGGGTAGGAGTGATGGGGGCAATAATGTAACAGCAATGGCATGAAATGTTGAGCATGAGTGATGAGAGTAAGTACTAAGTATTATGAAGAAGGGATCGAGGGTCAGAGAGAGACACCCTAGTTTCCACCAGCAAAACCCCTTACGTAAACATTACCGCTATAACTATTAGAATTCAAATATTGTATGCTGTTTGTTAGGCCCCTTGTCCTAAATCCGCTAAAGAATAGCGGGGTCGACTAAGTCGAGGATGAAAACGCGGCGGAAGACTTTGGCGAAAGAAGTATTAGCGAAATAGGCGAAGAAGTAACTGAGTAATGGTTGAATGAGAATTCGTTGATATGAGGGAATACAAGCAAGGTTGATATAGCATGCAAGAGCGATAGTTGGAAAGTAGTTCGTGGGACTACGAAGTAGAATGCAAGAAAGCTAGAGTGCCACGTGGCACAAGGAAATCAAGGAAATCCCAAAGGGATTTGGATGGAGATAAGGTTGGGATTGGGTTGGGGGACTGTTTAGGGTAAACCATCCTTGAACAGTAAAATACCCCGTAGCACTGTTAGATCTTGATGGTGTAATTCTTGTTACAAAGATTGTCAGGATTACTATCACTAGTGTGGTAGTCAAAATACACGTAAACCCTCGGATATAAGACCCAAAGGTCTTATCAGAATCGCACAAAAAAATGGGGGGGTCTTACGGGAACGATGGAACGAGGTAGCGGGGATTGCACTACAGTATTAAATGGGTACAAAGTATGAGCGAAGGATTAGGTGCGTGCGAGCTAGCTAGTGCGATGCTAGCATCGAGGTTCGGGCTAGTCCCGAGGCATAGGCCGACACGGCCGGGCCAGCGGTGCATGGTTTGATGAACAGTGCGCGCGAAGGTTGGCGAAGCCCAGTTAGCAATAAACGAGCGAACAAGAACTGCTTCTACATGCGGTGTTGAAGCACGCGGCAAGGAATGTCGAAAAAATCCTTACACTTCCCCCCCCCCCCCCCCCCCCCTCTCCTCTCAAGAAGCCCCCTCCGCTACGCGAGTGCGTGTATATCGCGGAAACCTCGGCTTCACATGTACACTTGCAGGGCAGGGTGGTTTTCAATGTTGGCCAGGGGCACCCAGCTGTCCTTTGTTGGGGTGCGGTCCTTCCAGCGAACGAGGAACTCAATCCTCCGAATTCCCGTGGGGTGGCGAATCCGATGGCTCATGATTTTTTTGGGGTCGACGATCGGCTCCGATGCAGGACGCGTCATCGATGGCGGGCAATGGCGTGGCAATTGACTCGTGGCAGCGATGTAAGGTCGAAGTAGGCTGACGTTGAACGATGGGCTGATGTACCGGTCTGTCGGTAAAGGTAGGTGGGCGGTAACTGGGGTGATCATGTGGCTGATTTGGAATGGTCCGCAGTAGCGCGGCCGAAATTTCGGTACGACAGTCAGCCGTAAAGTTTGTGTGTCGAGCAGCACATAATCCTCTGACTGGTATGTTACTGGGCGGCGGTGGCAGTCGGCGTTCCTTTAGTGATGAGATTTGCTTTTTTTAATGCATCTGCTGCGCGCGTCCGAGCAGCATGCAGAATCTCGGCGACCTGTTGTGCGTGTGGCGTTGGTTTTTCCTGTAGGGTTTTGCCTGTGGTTCAGATAAAACGGTGACTGTTGCGTCGTCTCTAACGTGGCGTTGTTGTAGGCAAACTCGAACTGCTCCATGGTCTGGTTCGTCCGCTCTGTTTGGTTCGGGGTGGTACGACGAACTGAACTGTAGCCGGGTCCCGAACAGGGCTGTCGCTAGCAGGGCGTTTGCATTGCTGGACCTTGAATTCCAGGGCTGGGTTGCCCTTGAAAGCTGAAATTGATGGGTTGCAAAACATCTGGCCCTGATTCCTTACAGGGCTTATTTTGCGCTTAGGTCTGGTGTGTAAAGGGTAGATTTTAGGCGAGCCCTGGAACAAAATCTTTCGAGCCCCCAACCCTCCCCCACCCAACTCCTCCACTCCCCCCTCCCCCCCGTTTCCATCCTGGTTGCATCCATCCTGGCAAATTTGGAGTTGCGTGGTTGGGCAAAAAAATCAACTCAACCTAGAACTTGTGCTTACGCCAATCACAGCTTCGCTACCTTGGGAGTGGGTAGAAGTGTACAAAATCTTCAATGCTGTTAAGGGTAGGAAGCCTGCTAAGCGTGCATAGTGAAATGACGCTAACTGTTTTTTTTTTTATGTAGTGTTTGCTTGTTGTAGTACTTGCATAGTGTGTTGAAAGCTTTGTAGTTGAAGTGAGGCTGCCGAAATTTCCGCGCCAAACCTGATTTAAAGGGAGGAAAAATTTCCAGCCCTGAAGCCTAAAGGGCCGAAATTAGCTCCGACCCTGCTAAATACAGGGTCGTACATGCCGGGCCCCCTGATTTGTCAGGGGGGCCCAAAACCAAACGACAGGCCTGGTCCCGAACTACTCCCAAAGGTTCTTCCAGAAATTGCTGGTAAACTTCGTGTCATGGTCGTTGGTTATCGGGGCTGGTATTCCGTGAAGTCGTATGACGGTCGCGACTGACAGGCGAGCGGTTTCTTCGGCTGATATCGATTTCGGGCACGTAGCAAAGTGGGTTATTTTCGTAAGTCGGTCAATGACAACCATAACTGTGTCGTTACCCCCAGGGCTCGAATGTAACCCCGTGACGAGATCTATGGTAACCTGCTGCTAGGCGTGCTCAAGCGGTGGAATCGGTTGCAAATGACCCGCACCTGACACGTGGGGCACGATCCCACGTGGTGCTGTACGTCGGTCGACAGCTCCGGTCAGTAGTGATACCGCTGCAGTTGCTGTCGCGTTTTTTTCTACCCCGAAGTGACGCGGGGTAACTGCGTCATGTGCCTCCTGCAGTAGCATTTCCCTTAACAGTGGGTATGCTGGTACCCAGATGTGGTTGATGCCTGTTTTAACGTATGCACTCCCTTTGCTTCTGATAGCTGTTGCAAATTCCCAGCGGTGAAAAATGGGTCGGTGTGAAATCCGTGGGTGAATAGGCTTGTTAGCAGTAGTTTGGTTTGGGAAAATAGGATGGCGTGAAGTTCGGCAGTGGAGTGGGTGCGGGCGTCGGCGATGTTCGATGCTCCCTTTTTGTACGATGGTATAGTAGAAGTTGGAATTTAGATAGTCCAACCGCCGTATCTGTCGCGGGTTGAGATTCAGTTGGGAGCGTAAATACTGTAGTGAGCGGTGATCTGTTCGTACTGTCACGTCGGCTCCTGTGAGGTAGCATCGCCACACTTTGAACGCGTGCATGATCGACAGCATCTCGCGGTCGTGTATCGGGTAGTTGCGTTTGGGCAGGCAAAGTTTGCGGGACTCTTACGCGATTGGCTGAAGGCCGTTCCCGAAGTCCTGCTCAATCTGCTCCCACGGCAAAGTCGCTTGCGTCAGTGACCAGTTCGAACGGGCGGTGAGGGTCGGCAATGTGCAGTACGGACGGCGAGCACAAAATACGCAACAGTACTGCTCCCACGGTGATGTCGCCGTGCAGTTCCGGTCCTCAATATGCAACAGTACTGCTCCCACGGTGATGTCGCTTGCGTCAGTGACCAGTTCGAATAGGCGGTGAGGGTCGGCAATGTGTAGTACGGACGGCGAGCACAAAATATTCTTGAGGGCCGAGAAGGCAGCTTGCTCTTTCTTCCCCCACGTGTACTCAACCCCCTTCCTCAGCAGGTCCGTTAGTGTGGCGGTCAGCTTCGCCATGTCGGGGACGAACCGGCGCACGTAGTTGACGAACCCCAAAAATCTATGCAGCTCAGTCAGAATCTGCTGTCAATCTGCTGTCGCCGTGTCGGTTGCAGCACCTCCCTCTGCAGCTGCCTTGTCTGGTGCTGCTTCGTCTACTGGTTCCCTAACTGGTGTTGCACCTGCTCCGTCTCTCCTTCCCTCTGCTGCTGATGGTTCTGGTGTTGCTGGTGCTGCTGCTGGTGCTGCTGCTGGTGCTGTTGGTGTTGCTGTTGGTGTTGTTGGTGCTGCTGCTAGTGCTGCTGCTGGTGCTGCTAGTGCTGCATCGGAACTAACAGCAGAGGAGCAGAGGCGACTGGAGAGGAGGCGCAAGGCAAGGCTCTTCTCAGCCATGCTCTCCTCTACTGATGCTGCTGAAACCGGTGCTTCTGCTGCCGGGAACAGTGGTGCTGCTGCTGGCGTTCTCGCAGTAAGGGGCACTGATGCTGCAGTAGGGGGCACTGATGCTGCAGTAGGAGGCAGTGGTGGTGCAACCACGCAAGAGGCTGAGGTTGCTCTGGCTGCAGCCGCGGCGGCTGCAGCAGCAGCAGTGGCCAAGGCACTGCCTCTTCTCGGCTTGTCGGGACAGGCTGGTTTTGGCATTGGGAAGGGTGGAGGGGGAGAGGGGAAGGCAGGCAAAGAAGAAACAGAAGGAGAAATGAAAGGGGTTGATGGAGGTGTGACTAGAGGGGCAATCGGGGTAGGGTAGGGTAAAGAAGGGGGGAGTGGGTTTGAAGGGAGAAGCAGAAGCAGGAGGAGGGGCTGGGGAAGGGAACGGTGTGATGGCTGGTGAACGTGCAGCAGGAGGGATGGTGGATAGAGAGGAGAGAGGAGAGGGCGGAGACCAGAGTGAGGAGGAGGAGACGAGGGAAGAGGGAGAGAGGAGTTATGGCTCGGATGAGGAGAGAGAGGAGGATGGGACGGAAAGGGGGAGGACTGGGAGGAGCGAGAGCAGGGATACAAGGAGCAGCACAAGCGAATCGGCAAGCAGTGAAAGTCGAGAGAAAAGAGGGGGCAGAGAGAACAGAGGGAAAAAGGGAAGTGGAGGAAAAGGGGAGAATAGGGTAAGGAGGGAGGTAAGAGGAAGGAAGGACAAGGGAGGAAGGAGGGAGAAGAGAGGAAGGAGCGAGAGCTGTTCACAAAGCAGCAGAGGTTCAAGCATCGAGTGCAGACCGAGACAGAGGAAGAAAGGCAAGCGGTCTCTCTCACCCTCCCCATCCTCGTCTCACTCTCGCTCACCCTCCGCCTCATTGTCTCCTGCGCGTTCTATCTCCTCCCGTTCAGTCTCCTCCTCAGCCTCCCCCTCCTCTTCCTCATCCGCCTCTTCTCATTCCTCCTCCCCGTCGTCTCCCTCTCGCCTCTCCTACTCCCCTTGGGACAGCGATGCTGCGAAACGAAAAGGAAGGTCGAGGGAGCTGGAGATCAGGTCAAGGGAGGGGAACGGGAGAAGGGCAGTGGTAAGAGAAACAAGAGAGAGGAGAGATCATAGTAATAAGAGGAGGAGTGGTCGTTTGAAGTCGAGGTCTCCCTTTAAGGGGATGAATAAAGGAGAGAAGAAAGGGAAAGCGGGAAAGGGGGGCATTGCAGAGGAGAAAAAAGGGGGAAGGGAGAAAGAGCAGGTGAGAAAACGGGAGAAGGAGAGGGAGAGGGGTAGTGATAAAGAAAATGACAGGATGAAGCGGAAGAGGTCAGTTTCTCCTGAGGAAATGCGCAAAAGAGGAGCCGCCAGGGATAAGGAGAGAGAAAAAGGAGTGGAGGGGAAACAACGGGAGGAAAAGAGGAGGGAAAGTGCTGAGGAGAGAGCAGGAACTGCCTTGGAGGTGAAGGGAGATGATGGGGAGAGGGACAGGGGAGAGAGCAAGGTGGGTGCGAAAGGGAGTGCTGCCGCGGGTGTGAGTGTTTCGGATGACATCCGAGCCAAGGTGAAAGCCCTGCTGCGCAAGCTATGAAAGAGAATGATTATCCTTTCTTAACTGAATTCAGAGATTGCAAGGAACCGAAGATCGGGTGTGAGTTTGCCCGATAACATTCGAGCCAAGTTGAAAGCCCTGTTGCGCAAGCTGTAATTGAATGTGATTTTTTTGTGTTTTTTTTTACTGAAATTAAAGGTTGCAAGAACAGGGAGAGGAAGGTGGGTGCCAAGGGGAATGCCGCGCCGAGTGTGAGTGTTCCCGATGACATTCAATTCAAGTCAAGACAAGACAATGCGTAAGTTGTTAAAGCCCTGCTGCGCAAGCTGTAAATGCCGCTTCCATGCTCTCTGGTCTGACAGGTTTGGTGGATGAGCAGATACGATAGCGTCGGTAGGTGATGTTCGAGCCAAGGTGAAGGCCCTGCTGCGGATGCTGTGAAGCAGGGTGATTGTTGTTCTCTGTAGAGCACTGCACACTGCATTGCTTGGTGATGTGTTGAGATGACGTGCTAGCCAAAAGGCCCTGTTGCGCAAGCTGTGAATGACAAAACCCTAATTCCATATTTTCTAAACTAAGTTGCTGCAGTTTGGTAGATGAGCGGATGGGAAGACTTTTGAGCCAAGGAGATAAGGACTCTGCTTATTAAGATTAGGAGCTTAGGCTTGTACTGAGGTTTAGGAGGGGTTCAGCAAGGAGAACCATGGAGAGGGAAGTTGGCCAAAAGAGGGCTTTCATTATGGAGTTGGGAGTACAAATAGGAAGGAGAGGAAAGTGGAAGGGTACACCACCAGCAATTGGAATCTAATAACTAATCTAGTACACTAGCTAACTGTAAACAGTTATACGGTATGCAATTACAATTCAACACTGCTGTGCAAGCTGCGAAGAAGGCTGTTGTCCTCTGAAGCTGTGAAATGTATAGATGGTGACATTCTAGCCAAAGGTGAAGGCCCTGCTCCTCACTATATTAGTTGTAGTGTTTCTTTATGGTGTGAAAAGTTTTTTTACATCGCAAAACTTGCTTGAGTCGATTTCGTGTAGAAAACTAGTCGCTGGCAACTAGAGGGGGAAAACCAGTCGCCTTCGCCTCAAAAACCAGTAGAATTGGCCAATGGTTGGCTAGTTCCAGGGATTTCGGACGAATCGATTGCGTGTAGCAGCTGCTTTTTAGGCTCGGGTGATGAGTCCTCGGTTTGGCAAAGGCTCGGAAATGCCTTGGATTGATAGCGAAACAATCATGAGCTGCTCGTTCCCAGGAATTTGGGATCCGATATCGCAGGGAGGAGCCGAATTCGATTCTTATGAATTGTTGCAGTTTATCGACTTGTACATTTCCTTCTACCGAAGTTTTGTTATGCCAGCTTGTTAATCTTCTAGCTTGGATTAGAATCTCCTTGTAATCTTTTAAAAGAGAATGATGGTTTGTGCCAAATTATTGAGCAGGTCCAGGGGAGGTATGAGAACCAATTCTAAACCACAAAAATGGTGATTATAAACCCTCTTTGTACCACCAAAACATTCACGAGGGAAAGTTATGAGGGAGAACAACAGGAAAAGCAATCAATAATGACAACAACAAAAAACAAAAACAAAAATAACAACAACAAACAAAAACAAAACCAATATCATCAACAACAACAAAAACAACAACAACAACAACAACAACAACAACAACAGCAACAACAACAAGAACAACAACAACAATAACAACAACAGCAACAACAACAACAACAACAACAACAACAACAACAACAACAACAACAACAACAACAACAACAACAACAACAACAACAACAACAACAACAACAACAACAACAACAGCAGCAGCAGCACTAGCAGCAGCAGCAGCAGCAGCAGCAGCAGCAGCAGCAGCAGCAGCAACAGCAGCCGCAACAGCACTTGCAACTGCAATAACAATAAAAACAACAGCAATACCAACACCAATAGCAACTGCAAGAGCAACAACAACAACAACAACAACAACTGCAAGAGCAACAACAACAACAACAACAACAACAACAACAACAACAACAACAACAACAACAACAACAACAACAACAACAACAATAGCAGCAGCAGTAGCAGCAACAACAACAAGAGCAGCAATAGCAGCAACAACAGCAACACCAAGAGCAATACCAATGCCAGGAGCAGCAATAGCAGCAACAACAACAACACCAAGAGCAATATCAACGCCACCTACAACAGCAACATCAATAACAATAATAACAATTGCTTGAACAAGAGCATAAACTACAAGAAGAATAATAGTAATAGTAAGGGTGTTTGAGGGGTAAAAGAAGATAATAAATAGCTTAATGTAACCTAAGGGATAGCCTCGTGTTGATAGGAAGAGTTAGAGACATTGTATGTACAAAATTGATAATGATGCATTTTTTGGTGTACAAACATATAATAAGACTACATAATTAATGAAAGAACCTATATATACATTCTATATGATCCACATTCTGGGCAATTTTGAGCTTTATTTTATCAATTCATTGATAAATTTGTGAGAATTAGGAACCAAACAGTGAGAACCGCACAATAACGTGGACAGGTATCGCCTATATTTGTGACCATTTGTGCCTTCTATTTCTGGTTCTTAAAAAGACATATTGGATGTAAAGCGGTTCTAATATGGTGGGTCTTTGGTTTGAAGATTCTGTGTACAACAGGGTCCTGAACACACACACCATATATTTTGTCGAGCTGGCAGCAGTTTGCGAGCCATTTGTATTTGTCGAGCTGGATGTTGTTGTACACCTCAGTAAGCGAAGATGCCACTGCACCCAATCGTTGCACAGAACTGCGACAGCGCTGCTAAGTGGAATGCCTAATCTATCACGAACACCAATAGAAAATTGCGCTATCACTGCTGAGCCAATGAGGGGCCGAATCAGAACCCTCAACGCCAAGTTGGCGACTGCCTCGCTGGCTTCGAAACCTCACGTTGTAAGCCAGTGGCAGGTTTGGTCGCGAGAGTCTCGCTGGTGAGGTGAGATGCATGCATCCAGCTAGAGGTCCCATGTACCTGCTTGCTCGTCACGTTGAGCTCGTCGTACCAGCAGTAATTTTTGAGCTCCCCTCATTCTCATCGACGAGCTGTTAGGAAAGTCACTTTTGTGACTGCAGTTCTTTCCTTGTTCCTCGTCACGTTCGTGACTCTTCCCTTCTCAAGTGTCGAGCTTGACTCCGCTCACGTTTTCGTGCAGTCGTCGAAGTGCTTAAGGTCCCCAACTACGATGAAGACGGCAGTGCAAGGCAATTTTGTTGGACGCAGTGGAAGGCAGTTTCGTTGGACGCAGCTGCTCTAACAGCCTGAGTTTTCGGCACTGGTTAGTCACCTCTTATGCCCTTGTCTTCCTCGTATACATCCGTTTTCCAGTTCTTCGCCTCAGTCCCTCGTTAAGTTTCCCGCTTTTCCCTCTCACTGTTGTTTCATTGTTGTCAGGTGGTGGTTTATGCGGGCGACGTGTGGAGATGATGTGAGGGTTGTCTGCCGGCGAAGCTGAGAGGTGCTCTGCTTAGTCTACTTCGAAGCTGAGAGGTGCGCTGCTCTGTCGATTCTGTGTCAATTCTGTCCGACACTTTATGGTGTTCTGTTGAGATTTGTGCATTGTAATCTTGTTTTTCTTAACATTTATGTATTGGCTTGTTTCCCCTGCAGCTCGTGGTTAGTATGTAATCTCTGCATTTCATTCTCACATTTGTTTCCTTCGTTCTGTTGGTGTCTCATGCGTAGCGCAGACCTCGAATAGTTGTCATCCTACTCTTGCTGGCGTTGACGTGTTAGTGCTAGAAGATGCCGCTGTTTTATTTTAGTTTCGTATACTGACTTGTATGCTATTCAGTGCATTTTTTAAACAATTACATTTCATTCTTCAATAATCGTGGTGCTGGAGTTCTGTAACGAATTAGCAGCTGAATAATTTCGGTTTTGGTTTTTTTTTTTTTGTAGTTGTACAATTTTATAATCATGTATCGCGTTATTTTATACTCATATGTTATTCTAACGAATATTGCTTTTGAGCAAATATATTTTTTAAATCCTGCTTCGATGTTGTCACATACTAATTACAACAGAAATGTTGTATCGCCCTAATTTGTTTAGGTGTATGTATCGATGTTCGCGACAGTGTCGCGGCATTCAACAAAACGATTCTGTGCAACCAATAAAAAATCACTCGCGCCCAATGTCTCGCCCAATCACTCGCGTACAAAGCATTTGTGCAGGCTCGGCAACTAGTTATTCGGCCAACTGAAAACCAATCGGGGGCTAGATGCCACTAGCATAGAAAACCAATCGCCAAAACCAGGCAAATGCCTGGAGCCGAAAACCACTCGCCAGCTAGTGGTTTCCCAACCGATTGCGAGAACCCCAAAATTCCCGATGTATGAGCTAAAGGTGAAGGCCACAAGCCAAGGGAGGCCCCGTCTGAAGGTACTGACGAATATGTGTATAGATTGACTTGTATAGTGACAATATTACAGTGCTGTAGTGCAAAAATTCTACAGTGCTATCTAGCTACAGACCGTGGGGCCAGAACACGGATTATGTGCCACTCAATCTCCGGCTCCTACTACCTAAGGGCAGCAAGGACGAGAAGTCATAGAGAGGCGGCCGCAGCCGCAAACTCTTCCTCGCTCCCTCACTCACTCACTCCTCACCCCCTCGCATTCGCATTCGCGCATTCGCGCCCTCCCCATCGCACCCCACTCGCAGCGCTTTCGTCTACCCGGCACAAAAACAATTTTATTGCGACCTTGCTCCCACCCCTGGGTCGCCGCGGCGGTCGCAACAGTCACAGCTGCCGCAGAGGTCACAGGTGTCGCCGCTCACGATACGTTGATGCGAACTTTGATGTTTCGCGCGCAGTCGTCGCCGATGCTGCTGCCAAACTACAGCGTCGTTCGCGACTCAGTGGGCGCAACCGTGTAACGACATCACAAAATCCCCCCTATTAGATTGGTCAATGATTGGTCCAATCTTGGTGTTTCCGTCCAAAATTGGACCATTATTGGTTTCATTGTTTGGACCAATATTGGTATAGTTGCTAAGTTGAACTTTGGACTATGTTTGGCCAAACTTTAGGTGAATTTGAGGACCATTTTTCTTCCAAGCCAACTCTCAGCTTTATACCAAGTTGGACCAAGTATGGTCCAAAATTAGAGTCTCTTGTGTCCTGGGTTAGCCCTATCAAAACTGCCATTTGTATGAAATTTCAAATTAAAATCATTTTTTAATTGCAAAAACAAATTACTTAGTGTACCGCCAACACTAGCAAAACAATACAGTACACCGCTACTGCTCCTACACTACAATGCTTAAAGGGTTACTATATCCTCCGCACCTGTCCCCCTGCTGCCCCATGCTGCTCCGCACCTGTCCCCCTGCTGCTGCTACTAGTTGCTACTGGCACTGCTACGCCCCTCCGCACCTGTTCCTCTGCTGCTCCTGCAGGTTGCAATTGCCACTGCTACTCCCCTCTGCACCTATCCTCCTGCTGCTGCTACAGGCTGCTATTGCCACTGCTACGCTCCTCCGCACTCGAACCCCCGCTGCTCTTGCAGATTGCTACTTCCTCTGCTATGCCCCTCGTTTTCCTGTCATCCTGCTGCTCCTGCAGCTTGCTCCTGCCACTAATGTGCCCCTCCGCACCTACCCCCCTGCTGCTGCTGCAGGTTGCTATTGCCACTGCTACGCCCCTCCACAACTATCCCTCTGCTGCTCCTGCAGATTGCTACTGCCTCTGCTATGCCCCTCGGTTTCATGTCATCCTGCTGCTCCTGCAAACTGCTACTGTGCTATGCCCCTCTGTTTCCTGTCATCCTGCTGCCCCTGCAGACTACTACTGCCTCTGCTCTGCCCCTCGTTTTCCTGTCATCCTGCTGCTCCTGCAGATTGCCCTTGCCAGTCATGTGCCTCTCCGCACCTGTCCCCCTGCTGCTGCTACAGACTGCTGCATCTACTGCTATGCCCCTCGTTTTCCTGTCCCCCTGCTCATGTAGATTGCTACAGCCACTTATATGCCCCTCTGCTCCAATCCCCCTGCTGCTGCTGCAGATTGCTGCCAAGCCCCTCTGCTCCAATCCCCCTGCTGCTGCTGCAGATTGCTGCCAAGCCCCTCTGCTCCAATCCCCCTGCTGCTGCTGCTGCAGATTGCTGCCAAGCCCCTCTGCTCCAATCCCCCTGTTGCTGCTGCAGATTGCTGCCAAGCCCCTCTGCTCCAATCCCCCTGCTGCTGCTGCAGATTGCTGCCAAGCCCCTCTGCTCCAATCCCCCTGCTGCTGCTGCAGATTGCTATTGCCACTACTAAGCCCCTCCGCACCTGTCCCCTAGTGCTGCTACAAATCTCTTTGATCAAGGGTTGGGGGTGAGGAGCCGTACTGGTGCAGGTCGTGCAGCCTGCGCAAAGCGACGTAGGGTTTAGGGTAGGAAAGGGACCGAAGAGACGGGAGGAAGGGGACGGAAGATATGGGAGGAGAGGGAACGGAAGAGATGGGAGGAAGGGGACGGATGTGATGGGAGGAAAGGGACGGATGAGATAGGAGGAAGGGGACAGATGAGATGGGAGGAAGGGGACGGATGAGATGGGAGGAATTCAATTAAGCTGTTGTCACAGCGAAGTGTTTATGCCACATAAGCAAAGTGTTGGTGCCATACCTGCATCGTGTTGGTCCTAGGGATGACTTACCTGCACCCTGCTAACAAGGGTCTCCATGTCGGAAGCGTCGATGTAGACGCCGTTGGGGAAGTTGAATGTGTTAGTGTTGCTGGCGTATGGGACACCATGGTCCATGACAGCGATCTCGACCTCCCGCTTCACACGGGTGCACATCTCCTCATACTGAATCCGATTGTACTCCCACTTGCCGCTCAACTTCCCATCGGGCGCATTGTTAAGGATTGGCCACTCGAACTGTAGGAATTGGGAACGAGGTGGAAATGTAGGGGATAGATGAACAGACAAGCGTTACCACATGGAAACACTACATGGTTCACCGCTTACATGGCAACAAACATAACAACATGTTCATAAACTCACCGCATATAGGATCCAGCCCAGCTGGCGGATCTTAATCTTCTCGGTATTGACCCCACGGCGCGCCAGAGCCAATTTGATGGACACCGAGAAGATGAGGCTACCGAAGGGGATGAGGAGCTCACGGTGCCAAGTCAGCCCCCTCTCCCCTGAAATGGGATTGTGCGATCATAGGAAACAAGGGGATGAAAGGTGCTGACTTAATGGTTAATTGATGGCAACCGAAAGTGGCAACAAGGGACGAAGTAATACATATACATATGATTGCAACACACATAACAGCAACTGCGGGATCAAAAGCTTCATACAAACTCACCATCCCTATAATGCGCGATGAGCTCCTCATCTGTGTAGAACACAAGTGGTGCTGGTAGATCTGCTGGTAACCTCCCCAAGTAGCACCTGTTCGCCTGCCGACCCAACGCCGTGAGCGCCACCTTTCTCATCCAGAGAAGTCCTAGTTGAGGACAGCTGCTCGAAAAAGACCCCTCTGGTGCTGGCATCGTTGTGCTGAAAGAGCACACGCAACGAGGCAAGAACCTGTGGCGACACAAACTCGCTAAACCCGTGATCTAAGGCCTCCTCGGCAGATGGGTAGAACTGAATCATTGAGGCTTCAATGTTGAAGCAGAGGTGTGTTGCTACACGCCTAGACAGTTCCTGTAGAGTGGAGGGGGATAGGGGAGGTGGCAGATATGCAAAGCAAGAGGTAAGGGTTTGCAAGGGGGGTTTCGGGTTGAGGGTAAGAGGGGCTGACTGGCAAAGCATGAGTCATAGCTTAGGAGTTGCTTCAACTCCCTAGACCTGGATGGTGGAGCACGGGGGGTTTAGGGTTGAGGGGAGAGGGGGCAGGCAGGCAGAGGGGAGTCAGGGTTTAGGTAGAGCCTCACCTCCCTAGGCCTGGGTGGGTTTGCAAGGGGGGTTTAGGGTTGAGGGTAAGAGGGGCTGACTGGCAAAGCATGAGTCATAGCCTAGTAGTTGCTTCAACTCCCTAGACCTGGATGGTGGAGCACGGGGGGTTTAGGGTTGAGGGGAGAGGGGGCAGGCAGGCAGAGGGGAGTCAGGGTTTAGGTAGAGCCTCACCTCCCTAGGCCTGGGTGGGTTTGCAAGGGGGGGTTTAGGGTTGAGGGTAAGAGGGGCTGACTGGCAAAGCATGAGTCATAGCCTAGTAGTTGCTTCAACTCCCTAGACCTGGATGGGCCAGCACGGGGGGTTTAGGGTTGAGGGGAGAGGGGGCAGGCAGGCAGAGGGGAGTCAGGGTTTAGGTAGAGCCTCACCTCCCTAGGCCTGGGTGGGTTTGCAAGGGGGGTTTCGGGTTGAGGGTAAGAGGGGCTGACTGGCAAAGCATGAGTCATAGCTTAGGAGTTGCTTCAACTCCTAAGACCTGGATGGTGGAGCACGGGGGGTTTAGGGTTGAGGGGAGAGGGGGCAGGCAGGCAGAGGGGAGTCAGGGTTTAGGTAGAGTCTCACCTCCCTAGGCCTGGGTGGGTTTGCAAGGGGGGTTTAGGGTTGAGGGTAAGAGGGGCTGACTGGCTTAGGAAAAGCTTCAACTCCCTAGTTTCAAGATGGGGAAGCAAGTGGGGTTTGGGTTTGAGGGGAGAGGGGAGAGGGGGTAGACAGGTCGAGCATGAGTTTAGGCAACACACATACAGTGTATCGCAGGGAACGTACCTTGAAGTCGACTACCGCTTTGTAGACGATTTCGCGGTGGTTTGCCAGGGGACTATTGCTAGGGGGAAGGCCTTCCGACGAGCTAGTGCTCGGGCCAGAATGAGGAGGAGTTGCTGCAGGCGCTCCGATTGGGACGGATTGACCAGCACCTTGAAGTATGGCCGACAGCATTTCGGCGAACCTTGCCATCACGTGTCGCTCGAATTGGTCAAGCTGCACGTTTGATACACCACCATGCTCCTGGCGGCGATCGCAGGATGCCGCTAAAAACGGGGTTTTCTTGGCGGGTACGAGCTCGAAGCGCTTGGTGGCTAGGCTCAGAACCTTCACTGGTGGTGCAGCTCCTGAGTCCTTGGGTGCTGCTGGGAGGAAGGTGACGGCAGGGATGGGAGGAAGGTGACGGCAGGGATGGGAGGGAGGTGACGGCAGGGATGGGAGGAAGGTGACGGCAGGGATGGGAGGAAGGTGATGGAAGGGATGGGAGGAAGGTGACGGCAGGGATGGGAGGAAGGTGATGGAAGGGATGGGAGGAAGGTGACGGCAGGGATGGGAGGAAGGTGACGGCAGGGATGGGAGGAAGGTGACGGCAGGGATGGGAGGAAGGTGACGGCAGGGATGGGAGGAAGGTGATGGAAGGGATGGGAGGAAGGTGACGGCAGGGATGGGAGGAAGGTGACGGCAGGGATGGGAGGAAGGTGACGGCAGGGATGGGAGGAAGGTGACGGCAGGGATGGGAGGAAGGTGACGGCAGGTATGGGAGGAACGTGACGGCAGGGATGGGACGAAAGGCGACGGTTCGGGATGGGACGGCAGGGATTGGAGGATAGGGTACGGCAGGGATGGAACGCCAGGGATGGGAGGAAGGTCACGGCAGGGTTTGGACGAGACAGATAGGATGAGTGGTGAGTGCTGACATCAACAAACGTGGAACAAATTGATGAGGGATATGCACTAGAATGAGGCAACGTACTCACCTTTGGTTTTGGGGTTGCCCTTCTTGGCGGTCGCTTTAGCCCCACCGCCCGCTTTTGCCTTAGCCCCTCTTGCCCCAACGTCTGCTGCCTTTGCACCTGCCTTCGGTTTGCCCGAAACGTCACCAGTGTTCCGCTTTTTCGTTGCACCGCCAACCACCAAGGCGGACTCCTCCCGTTTCGTCTTCCCACCAGGGCTACTCTCTTTCGGCACCTGTTTCTCCACCACCTTCTCCTTACCCTTAGCCACGGCGACAGCATGTTTCCCTCGCGGTGGCTTAGCCGGAACCTTTGACGGATCTGAACGCTCGTGTGCCTTTGCACCCTTTCCAGCCTGCTTAGAGCTGACAACGGTCCCCTTGATCTCATCCAGCGCCTTCAGCTTTTCAACCAGGGTTGCACGTTCTTTTGCCACAGCCTCAGCCTCCATGGCATCACTATCACCGTCACCCTGCTCTTCCAACATCTCATCAAAGCTTGCCTTCCTCGTGACCTCTGGCTTATGCGCATCCGCGCCTCCATCCACTTCCGCCGCATCGTCCTTCTCCATCTCCTTCTCCGCCTCTTCCTCTTCCCCCTGCTCATCGTCCGACTCCCCGTCCTCTTCGTCCGAAGGCTCGTCTCCGGACTCGTCTTCCGACGCGTTTCCGGACTCGTCACCCGTCTCTTCCTCCTCATCATCCTCAGCCTCTTCCTCCGCCTCTGCCTCCGCATCTTCCTCCGCCTCATCCTCCGAATCTTCCCCAGCATCCCCCTCAGCCTCTTCCTCAGCATCTTCCTCCGCATCTTTCGCCGCATCTTCCTCCGCATCTTCCTCAGCCTCTTCCTCAGCCTCTTCCTCAGCCTCGTCCGCCTCGTTTTCAGCCTCGGCTCCCGATTTGCCGCTGGGCTTTCTTTCGTCCTCGTGCTCCGCATCATCCCAAACAACGCCCAGACGTTTAGTCTTGACAGGCGTAGCAGGATTAGCGGTGTCGTCGTTACCATCCGCATCTTCCGCCAGCCACACTTTCGCCTTTCTAGGGCGATTTGACTTGCGAATATCGCCACCAGGTGGGCCCTCACCGCTAGATGACCCGGGTTTGGAAGGAGCAGCAGCGCCCTTCTTCGTAGAATTGGTGACCTTGCGGGGACATTGCGGTGTGCCTGCTTTGGTGGAGTTCTTCTTCTTTGCTGGTTTCGAGACCTGCAGTCCAGTCGCCATTATGCTCAGACACGCAGAGGAAAAGGTAGAACGTAGTGACCACAGACAGAACAGACTAAGTGGGAGTGTCCAGGTGATGGGTAAGTATGAACACTTGCAAGTTCTCTTTTTATGGCACACCAGAGATGCAGAAACGAGAGAACAACTTTCAGGAACGTACTGTTGTGTGATCCGGGCGCAGTCACTGTGACGAGTCGCCATCAAAGCGTTCAAAGTAGCCCGACTCGGGAACCTTTATTCATGTGCATGGGCGACGCGGCACGCTTAAAACGATCACGATAGGACTTGAGGCCGGCGCCGCTAGTTATCGGGCTGCAGGTGGACGTGCGTGATGGTAGGACTGTAAGAGGCGGTCGGCTACGTGCTATACGGCGAGGATGTCGCAAGCTGACTGAACGTGAGACCATGGAAGCGCGTCGTCTAGGGTGTTTGGCATAGTGGAGCCGCGTCTGGTCGAGGATCGACCAAATCAGTAGCTAGTCGTTGGAAAAAGCGGGGGAAAATCGAGGCCTGGGGAAAGCACTTGTTGTTCGAGCACCGTGACTGCTACCACGAGCGGTAGGATGAGACTACAGAGACGTGAAAAGGCGTTGGTGGTGGAGCCTCTGTTAGGCGTGATCGTGTTGGGAGGAAGTGGATCACTAACCTGACTTAAGGAGTAAAAAACAAGGTACACCGCGGTTGAATTGATGTTCGGTAGGGTCTATTTAGCCAATTCGAATAAGACACGATTTCCCTGCCATTTCCGCGCGGGTCAGTGTAGCGAGAAAGGGGGTGATGCCTGAACTGCATGGCAGCATTGCCGTTAGCGCTGCAGTGCTCCATAAAACTACTGTTTGTGTATTGTGGGTATCGTGGCATGTTGAACATTCAAGAACATTCAAAAACATTCTCGATGCCCCTATGTCGTCGGATCCACCAAGTGCTAGTGCCTTTGCTAAGGACAATTGTTGCTTAATCGGGTAAAAACATGCCGTTTGAAACTGAACCTGCCCCGGATTTAATAGATTGTCAAGGGCGCTCGATGCTGTTTCGACATCTTCGCCAGCACGACAGGCGGCACGGTAGCATTTCCTATTCCCCAACGACTCTTTTCAGCCTGTCCCCCACCGACACTTAGGTTGAAACGGGTGGCTGCAGTACCTGGCGAGGACACTTGGTTTAGTTGCCGTTGAAACACCCTTGTGTTTTTGTTATGGATACAGTTGTAAACTTGTACCCTACCCTCGATCAACCCGGAATTGACTAGTGGCAGCGTGGCAAATTTGTTTCCACAACAAACTCCAAGCGCGTCTCAATTTTCAGCCGCAAACACGTTACGATCGCGTTAGGGGAGTAGCAGCATTGCGATTTACTAGCGGTGAATATGATCTGACCGGATTTTTTTGTGTCCCGTCATTAAGTGTCAGTTTTTATTCCCAAGCAAGCGAGCCTCACGTCGCAATCACCATATACACGTGGTGGGGCAGATGTCTCGGGCTCCCACTAAAACTGTTAACCGTGGTAGCATGCATGCTTTCCGAGTCTTGCCGTGATTTTAAATATCAAAATTGCCCATGCTAGTTTGGGAACTCTCAAGTGGACACATGATAGGCTTGTCTTTACAGCGAACTCCAAAGGCAACCAGTGGTCGAAAGCGGACAAAAGATTCACCACAATTATGGTCCCTGCTTGATTCACAGGCAGATTTGCCAGCTGTCTGCTGGTTGGTTGAAACATTAGGCTGCTTCCCGTCCCCACCGACACTTATCGTGATACGTGCAACGTCAGCAATTGGCGGTGTTTTTTTTTGCCAAGCCCCAACTGCTGGAAACGACTGTCAACTGGCCATGTGGGAAAGTTTGTCATGTAGACAAACCTCCAAAGGCGTTGCAGTTGTCTTGTTACGTACATTTCGACGATGTTGGGCTTTACCCGAATGTTGACTTCACGTTTTACGGATGTTTCACTGCCCTCACGCTAGTATGACTTCGCATTCGCCACAAATACTTAAGCGTGGTAAGTTTGCCGCAGTCATCGCTGTGCTCAGTTAAACAGTTGGTGGAACACAACATTTTCGCTACGCTAGTGTTTCAGAATGAAACAAACCGAAATCCCAACCCTCGAAAATTTGGGTTTAGGGTAGCCATATGGAAGTCTCTTCAGGACATCGATGCACCAACTAAAATTGAGTATGCTCTGACATGCAGCAGAAAGGTGGGTCGCGTAGAGTTGACGACATGTAACAAGCAGTCCTAACGAAATGTACAATCTTGGATACTTATACACGTTACATTACATAATTGATCTCACAGAGATGCCATTATTGAAGCCAGAAATAAGGCTAAGGGTTGTACATGTTGTAGTGGTGTTTTTATTTAAAATTTTGTTGATTTTAGGGTTAGTTTACCGTAATACATCACATAAGATCTACATAAACATACATACGGTTGCTTTACGGCTCCAATTGTGGTCAAATTTCTAGGTCTATTATGGCGCACAAACACCATGATTGTGGTCTAAATCATCATTCAAGTGGCTCTCCTGCCTTCCCTTTGCCTCCTCTACTATTGTGCCAGAAACCGTTGTTACAGCAAAAATCCACAAAACACTGAAGGCCAAGCTATACGGTTTAAGCTCCAAGCACTTGTCAACTCATTTTCTAGCCGTCACAGACATGTGGTAATTTCAACCTGGTGTTTTATATGGATTGGAACTATGTCATGCTTGTGTGACCTAGTAAGGTGCTAGGCTGTCACCCTATTCTTGCTTGTTACACATGCCATCGTTGTATCCAGCCCATGGGGAAAGGCGTCGATAGATAGCTTGCACAATTTGGATGGGCCTGCACTCCTAGGAGGATGTTACTAATAGTATTAGGAGCCTCCCATCCAAGACACAGCCTTGGCGGAGCGCTCTAGGTTGGTTGTTTGACATAAGCGCTACCGCAAGCTGTTTTGTACTAGTTCTGGGCAGGCCCATGGCGAAAGGCGTCGATAGATAGGTTGCACAATTTGGATGGGCTTGCACTCCTAGGAGGATGTTACTAATAGTATTAGGAGCCTCCCATCCAGGACACAGCCTTGGCGGAGCGCTCTTGGTTGGTTGTTTGACATAAGCGCTACCGCAGGCTGTTTTGTACTAGTTCTGGGCAGACCCATGGCGAAAGGCGTCGATAGATAGCTTGCAAAGTTTGGATGGGCCTTCACTCCTAAGAGGATGTTATTAATAGCATTAGGAGCCTCCCATCCCAAAAACAGCTTTGGCGGAGCGCTCTAGGTTGGTTGTTTGACATAAGCGCTACCGCAGGCTGTTTTGTACTAGTTCTGGGCAGGCCCATGGGGAAAGGCGTCGATAGATAGGTTGCACAATTTGGATGGGCCTGCACTCCTAGGAGGATGTTACTAATAGTATTAGGAGCCTCCCATCCAGGACACAGCCTTGGCGGAGCGCTCTTGGTTGGTTGTTTGACATAAGCGCTACCGCAGGCTGTTTTGTACTAGTTCTGGGCAGGCCCATGGGGAAAGGCGTCGATAGATAGGTTGCACAAGTTGGATGGGCCTGCACTCCTAGGAGGATGTTACTAATAGTATTAGGAGCCTCCCATCCCAAACACAGCCTTGGCGGAGCGCTCTTGGTTGGTTGTTTGACATAAGCGCTACCGCAGGCTGTTTTGTACTAGTTCTGGGCAGGCCCATGGGGAAAGGCGTCGATAGATAGGTTGCACAATTTGGATGGGCCTGCACTCCTAGGAGGATGTTATTAATAGCATTACGAGCCTCCCATCCCAATCACAGCTTTGGCGGAGCGCTCTAGGTTGGTTGTTTGACATAAGCGCTACCGCAGGCTGTTTTGTACTAGTTCTGGGCAGGCCCATGGGGAAAGGCGTCGATAGATAGCTTGCACAATTTGGATGGGCCTGCACTCCCTGCTGGCGCTGCTACCCATCCCACCCTCGAATATGCCTTCGCACTTGAAGGTGGAGCTCTACAACGCTTGTATTGCTAAGCTTCTTGAGCCCCTGGTCCGCCTTAAAGACAAGTGAGTGGTGTCAATGCTGGCGTTTACTGAATTGCCGTTATTCGGTTAAGCCTTCCCCCGAATGCAGCACTTGGTGGTCCTGTATATTGTGAATCATCATATGGTTTCTCTATTTCCCATGGCCGGGTGAAATTTGTGCAGTGGTGTCATGCTGCTGGACTCAGAAGGCATCGAGCGATGGGTCATTCCTTTGCTGTACGCTTGGGCTTGCGACTATCCCGAGTCCGGGAAACTGACATGCACCAAATCTGGTCAGGGCTGCCTGAAGCCGTGCAGCCTCTGCTATGTCGACAGGGTATGTAAAGAGATGAAACTCTGGATCATGAGGTGCTGGGATGGGAGGTGAGTGCTGGGATTGGAGGTGAGTGCTGGGCTGGTGAGTGCTGGGATGGTGAGTGCTGGACTGGGAGGTGCAGGGATATGAGGTGCTTGCTGGGATGGTGAGTGCTGGGGTGGTGAGTGCTGGGCTTGTGAGTGCTGGGATGATGAGTGCTGGGATGGTGAGTGCTGGGATGGTGAGTGCTGGGCTGGTGAGGGGCAGGGATATGAGGTGAGTGCTGGGCTGGTGAGTGCTGGGGAGGTGAGTGCTGGGCTTGTGAGTGCTGGGCTGGTGAGTGCTGGGATGGTGAGTGCTGGGATGGTGAGTGCTGGGATGGTGAGGGGGCAGACAAGGCATATAATCAGGCCCCATCCGCAAACAAAGCTGCGTGCGTCTCATATCTGTGTATGTGCGTGTCTAATGGCTTTTATTGCTCGTCCCCTGTATGCTATGAATTTCCTCCGGACACAACAGGAAAGCCTGTCATCTGTGGAGCTACCCAACAACGTTCGCACACCCGCACAACAGCAGTGGGTTAGAGACGAGGCAGCCGGAGTCGCTGCCAGCGCGGATGACAATCCGCTGAAGTTGTACTCAACGTTCGACATCGACGTAAGTATTTGATTTAAAGCCAGCTGTAGTCGCTCTTTGTCACAAATACACTGCAACCTCTGGTGTCTAGGGCAGTCAAGTGTCTCCCTAACCTTCGCATTCCCTGCTGTACCACCTGCACAGTGCGCTTTATGGAAGTGGCAGGTTGGTTCATCGCCGTGGGGAAATCCATTCCTAGCTGTCATGGCGGACATCATGCACCAGGCAGACCTGGGGATGCTGGACCATATCGTGCGATGCATCCGCGCCCAACACCCAACGATGATGAAGATTCTGGATTTGTGAGTGCATCTTTCCCCACCCGGCTGGAAATGCACGATGCTCTAAACGATGAGCCGTCATGCAAAATTTATTCCCTCGTGAGTCTATGCCCACCCCATATCCATAATCTGATCATCCCACTGTACGCAGGCGTCTTCTAAAGCTAACCCTGAAAACACGTATCAACTCTCTGCGATTCCCGAAGAGCGAGTACTTTAAAACCGGGGCACAAGTTGCAGCCTTTGAACACCGATCCGTCATGCAGGTATGATCCTTTTAGGCTCATACTTTGGAGAGGGGGAATGGGGAGGGTGGGAAGAGTGGGGCGAGCATGGAAGGGAGGGAAGCTGAAGGGGAGCGGAGTTGGGTTGGTGGATTTGATGTTTGTGTGCTGGTTCATGCGGCTGTAGCACTGTGTTGGTTCGTTGCAAAGCCCGACTGTAAACCTGCCAGTACACCGTCATGACAATAATATCGTTTTAGAGTCATATGTGGTGGCCTCTCTCTCAGTTGTCCTACACATGGTACTGAATGTCTCCAGGTGTTGATATTTTTGGTGGCGGACGTTGTCGGCTCGCCCCAGCTGGAGGCAATCAGAGCATACCTTGACTGGTATCTCTGCTGCAACGCCGCCACTCACACGGACAGAAGTCTCACCGAACTACAAGCCAAATCAGCAAGGTACGTCACAAACGAAACACCCTAGACCGTCTCACTGCCTATGCGATTCGTAGAGTTTCCAGGCACGCTTTTCCTTATACTGCTCTCATAGAGCTTCATAGCACGCCTTTCCTTATACTGCACTCTTCATTCATGCTCCAACACCCTTCCAGGCTGGTGGAACTACTCACGGCTGCCTTCCCCGAGCAGAAATCAAAGTGGAACCTCATCAAAACACACTTGATGACTCATTTCATCCCTGGAATTCGACGAGCTGGGAATGTGCAAGAGTACAGCACCAACCTCTTTGAACACCTGCATGGCACGCTGCTGAAGCAGATATGTAGGAGATCGAATAAGCGGAAAGTGGACTCGCAGATCATGAAGCACCACGAGATGAAGCTAGACTCCATAAGCAACGTGCCTACCGACGGCGTACAAACGGCTATGCAAAAGGTATGGAGCGCCAAAGGATGTGCTGCTAAAACGGAAGGTGCTGTGAGGGGAGGTGCTGGGATGGTGAAGGGAGGTGCTGAGATGGTGAATGCTATGTTGGTAGGTGCTGTGATGGGAGGTGCAGAGATGGTGAGTGCTGTGATGGGAGGTGCAGAGATGGTGAGTGATGTGAGGGGAGGTGCAGAGATGGTGAGTGCTTTCCTTGGGAGGTGCATAGATGGTGATTGATGTGAGGGGAGGTGCAGAGATGGTGAGTGCTGTGAGGGGAGGTGCAGAGATGGTGAGTGCTGTGAGGGGAGGTGCAGAGATTGTGAGTGCTGTGAGGGGAGGTGCAGAGATGGTGAGTGCTGTGAGGGGAGGTGCAGAGATGGTGAGTGCTGTGAGGGGAGGTGCAGAGATTGTGAGTGCTGTGAGGGGAGGTGCAGAGATGGTGAGTGCTGTGAGGGGAGGTGCAGAGATGGTGAGTGCTGTGAGGGGAGGTGCAGAGATGGTGAGTGCTGTGAGGGGAGGTGCAGAGATGGTGAGTGCTGTGAGGGGATGTGCAGAGATGGTGAGTGCTGTGAGGGGAGGTGCAGAGATGGTGAGTGATGTGACGGGATGTGCAGAGATTGTGAGTGATGTGAGGGGATGTGCAGAGATTGTGAGTGATGTTAGTGGATGTGCAGAGATGTGAGTGATGTGAGGGGATGTGCAGAGATTGTGAGTGATGTGAGGGGATGTGCAGAGATTGTGAGTGATGTGAGGGGATGTGCAGAGATGTGAGTGATGTGGTGGATGTGCAGAGATGTGAGTGATGTGAGGGGATGTGCAGAGATTGTGAGTGATGTGAGGGGATGTGCAGAGATGTGAGTGATGTGAGTGGATGTGCAGAGATGTGAGTGATGTGAGTGGATGTGCAGAGATGTGAGTGATGTGAGTGGATGTGCAGAGATGTGAGTGGATGTGCAGAGATGTGAGTGATGTGAGGGGATGTGCTGAGATGTGAGTGATGTGAGGGGATGTGCAGAGATGTGAGTGATGTGAGTGATGTGAGGGGATGTGCAGAGATGTGAGTGATGTGAGGGGATGTGCAGAGATGTGAGTGATGTGAGTGGATGTGCAGAGATGTGAGTGGATGTGCAGAGATGTGAGTGATGTGAGTGGATGTGCAGAGATGTGAGTGATGTGAGTGGATGTGCAGAGATGTGAGTGGATGTGCAGAGATGTGAGTGATGTGAGGGGATGTGCTGAGATGTGAGTGATGTGAGTGGATGTGCAGAGATGTGAGTGATGTGAGGGGATGTGCAGAGATGTGAGTGATGTGAGGGGATGTGCAGAGATGTGAGTGATGTGAGGGGATGTGCAGAGATGTGAGTGATGTGAGGGGATGTGCAGAGATGTGAGTGATGTGAGGGGATGTGCAGAGATGTAAGTGATGTGAGGGGATGTGCAGAGATGTGAGTGATGTGAGGGGATGTGCAGAGATGTGAGTGATGTGAGGGGATGTGCAGAGATGTGAGTGATGTGAGGGGATGTGCAGAGATGTGAGTGATGTGAGGGGATGTGCAGAGATGTGAGTGATGTGAGGGGATGTGCAGAGATGTGAGTGATGTGAGAAGGAGTTCCTGGCGGGGAGGGCTTAGAGGGGAGGTGCTGGGAGCGGGGCAGCTCGGGCTAGGTGGCAAGGAATGTTTGCCTGCAGTTCATAGGGGGGTAGCAGGGGAAGAGTAAGCGTATGGCACGGGAGGGAGCAGCAAAAGGGGGAGTGCAGCGCTAGGAGGGAAACAAGGGAAAGGGGAGGATAGGTTGCTCGTTTCTGCTGGTTGATGCGATTCTTTTTTTTTTAGGCATTCTCTGCGTTGTTTGGCCCGTGTCAGGCAATCGAGGATGGAGCTCGGGTGATGGTGAAGGAGTCCTACTTCTTCCCCGTGAAACCCGCTGATGTCACTCCCATTGCCAACTGGTTTGTCCGTGAGTGGGCGAAGGACCACAGCGAGGCACACCATGCCTTTGAGGGTGCATTGCTTCGACGCCAGCTGACCCCAACGAAAGTTCGTGTAAGTTGTTAAGATGTCGACATCAAGCAAATAACATATGCAAATGAAGGTTACGTTGTACTGATTCATGTCTCTTACTTGTTGCAGGCTCACACCACACTTGCGATCCCTGGTGCAGAAGATGCTAGTTTTTCCCGTGTAGCACACTTCGTGAAAGCAACCCCGCTGTCCCACTCCAGGCCGTGGTTCTCTAACGTTGCGATCATGGGAACAACGGCGACGGGTGCAGAGACGGAGTGGTACGGAAGGCTCTTGTTGTTGTTCCATACGAAAGAGAGAGGGTGCACGAGGGAGTTGGCATACGTGAAGTACTGGTCTAGCGCAGGCGAGGATGCAAAAACAGGGTGCAAACGTCTTAGGTGGGCAACCGGGGTATCGCGATACTCGGTGATTGACACGGAAAGCATACTGCGCCAGGTGCACATTATCAAGTCTTACCACAGCGACAATGCATTCTATCTTAACAAGTATCTGCTAAATTAGAAATACTTTATCAATGCTTGTGATTATCAGAACGATTTCATAAAAAAACAGAGGAGTTCAGTATTTCAACCCTAGGTTACAGGCAATAAGTAACAATGATTTTGCAGGATATAAATGTACATGCGCGTTTGATTGTTTAACAAATAACTTGTCAATGTTATTGGGGTAAATTCTGTAATTATGTAATATAAGGATACACACAGAAAGATATGGGCGGCTCATCTTGGTCTAAGATTACTCCTAGGCGAGACCAATTTAGCAAGGCCCTAGCACAATTTATCGCCACGTCTGGTCGTGCACCAAGCGAGGCTGTGGCTCGATGATCCAGGATAGGTTCGCGGGAAACCAAAGCTCCCATCTCGAAACTGCTTTTTTCAACCTGGTCAAAACGAGCACTGTACACCTGACATTGGCCCAAAACAGGGCCAATTTCGTTTCGCCGTGGCGCACACCGACTCGCGAGTCGGATCGGAAGCGCGAAACCAAATCGAAATTGGAGTTGCCACACATTTTCGCTGGTGGTTGGGCGAAAAATGTTGGACAACCCATGCAACCCAACTTCCGAAACCAATTCGACCCCTTTCCAAGCGATTCAAAAACGAGGGTTTTTTTTTTTTTTTTTTTTTTTTTTTTTTTTTCAACAACTGGTGACAATTTTACAGTCCACAAGACCATGATGTGAAAGTTGCAGGTGGGGGGACAGGAGAAAGAGAAAGTAAATGGGAAAGGAAAGGAATAGGGAAAGTAAAGCCAAGATAAACCCAAAAGCACAAAACAGATGACACCCAAGAAGACACCCTATCTAAAAGCCGGCTTCACCTAACCCCCCCCCTCCCTCCCCCCCCCCCCCCCCCCCCCCCCCCCCCCGACGCCCCTCAAACCGGAGCGGACACCAAATATTGAGCGTCCACCCACAATGCCCCCCCCAACTCCTCAGTGTCCTCCCTCTCCCTGTCCACCAGATCGATATCTGCTCCTCCCATAGACGATGCAGCGCGAACCAGGATGACTCGGGCTTGGGCACTATGCAAGGCCACCCCAATCATAGCCTTCAAGGATCCCATGAGATAATAGGAAAATGACTGATCATCCTCCCGACACGCCCCCCTCGAAACGGCAAGTCCAAAATGTGCGTCCCCCTGCTGCCGCAGCCAACGCCGAAAACGTCCACCTAGGCATCCCCATGTCTCAACAATCAAAGGGGTGAACTGCACTCCCCGGCTGCGCGCTAACAGCGGCGCGTAATCTCCCGTCTTCCTGCGCTCCCACTCCCTGGCCGCCACTCCTATAGACCGCCCACACTGCCCGACCAAGGCTGGAGACAGTGACAGTGGATCGGCAACACTGACCTCCAGAGCATGCGCCTCCCCCGCCGTTGGTCGGCGCACCGCAACATCCACCCGCTTCCCTACCAACATCGAGTCGTCCTCCATCGACACCACCCCTCCCGACGCCTTAGCGATCCTAGCCACCGCAAACTTCACCTCGTCGTGCACCCGTGACGGCCCGTGCTGGTGCTTACAGCGCAATGCATGGTGTGGATCTGCCGGGTCCGTGTACTCAGTGCCGCAAATGCAACGGCCCGCAACGTGCAGCTGCTGAATCGGAAGGCCCAAACGCACAGCCGCGGCAATCCCCCACTCTGCGGCTGTAAAGGTCAAATCTGAATGTGCAGGCACCGCCAAGACCCAAGCACCAGCTCCCGGGCCCTGAAGGGATGTGAAACGGGCCAGGGAAGCATCGTCACGGGCCATACGACGGAGGGCCTGGAGCTCCTCCACAGCTAACAACCGCTGCCGTGTGTGGAAAAGTCGAACTGGTGGGGCCGCTACGCAGAGGTGGAGACCCGGCATCTCCTGGCGTACAGCGCCAGGCAGCTGCTCGAGGCTCTTGGAGAACCACGGGTCGAGAAAGTCCACCCCCCCCGAAGAGCTGAGGTAGTCCCTAAACATCGCCTCCTCTCCCGCTATCCCCAACTGAACCACACCTCGCGCCGCCTGCGTCCATCCACAGGCATAGGAGAGTGGGCTCAAAGATGCCGCAGCCCGTACACCGAAACCGCCCAGACGGACTGGTAGGTGCAGCTGCAGGCGGGCCAACCTAGACCGACCAGGGTCGTGCTCCCATGTGCCCGGAGAAAAAAGCTGTTCAAAACAGTCCTCCACCCTGCTGTCCCACTCCCGAAACGCCTCCACCACCTCTGGTCGTGGTGGCACCGTCCGAGCAAGATAGATAGGTCGTGCCGACACTGCAATGGCCAGAAGGTGCGCCGCCATCTGGGGATGCTCGAGCAACGGGAGCCAAGGAAGGGGCGCCTGCAACTGCTGTAGCCGCTCCCGTAACCGAACAACCTCCCAGTCCTCATCCCCAATCGGAACGCCAACTACTGTCAAACCCTCCTCCGACCGCTGCATGCCAGGTGGCAACCGCTCCTCTAGATCAGCCCCCCCCCGCTCCCAAAACCGACACTTATGCGCCTGCACTTGCAATCCCACTGACTCCAACCGCTCCCGCAGCACGCCAAACGCCTCCAATATCCGATCCCCAGGGCCCAAAATGTAGGTATCGTCGGCATAGCTCAGGAACAAGACATCGGCGAAATCCTTGATGACCGGCTCCATGACCTGCTGCTGCGCGAATGCAAAAAGGAAAGGGCTTAATGGGTCCCCCTGTCTCGACCCCCTTGCAGAGACCAGTGTCTCCACAAAAGGGCCTGCCCTCAGGTAGAGGTCGCTGGGCGACCCATAGAAAACGCTCAGGAAGGGGATGAGACCTGAGAAAGGCGAGTCTCGCAACCCCTCGAACATCGCACGCCGATGGAAGGAGTTAAATGCGTTCGCGACATCTATCTGCAGCGCGCACCAGTCAGGATGGGTCGCCAGGGATGAGCGAAAAGCGAGGGTGAGTATCTCAACTCCCGCCCTGGTCCCCGCCCCCAACTGGTTACATGGTAGGAAGTGTGAGGCCATGGCTGGGCGAAGTGTGATGCAGAGTGCTCGTGCAAGGATGCGCGGCAGCACCTCTCCGATGGCAACCGGTCTCACGTCCCCGTTGGGCTTGGATAGCCCGACCAGGTTTGACGCCGCAAGCCAGGGTCGAACACGCTGAGGGACCTGTCCCGCCACCCACTGATTGAACACCTCAAGGAGATGGCAGAGGTAGGAGGGTTCGGTGAGGAAAGTGTCGCGCAGATGCTCCGTGACCAAACCGACGGACCCGCTGCCGATGCACGAGCAGCTGTGTGAATGGCTCTGGCTAAAGTATCACAGGTGAGTATCGGCCGCCGAGCGTCGTCAGCAGCAAAATCGCCAACCCACTCCGGTACCCCTTCGACGCTCGCAGGGTGCTTCCCTCGCAAAGATTCCACCATTGCCTCCGACGGTCGCGCCAGCTCCCCCGCAGTAAGGCAAGCCAACCCCCGACTCCACTCTCCCACTTTACACCGTGTCCGACACCGTGCTAGGCGGATGGCGTCTGGGTCTTGGTCCGCGGCTGTGTAGGTGAGTGGGCGAACCGCCGGGCGTGCTGCGGTCAAGGCAGACTCGTACAGCTGGTGCCACCTCCCCTCCCAAAACACCCCCAGACGCTCCTTGATCGCAGCTCGCTGGCCCATGCCCGGCTTGGATGGCACGCCTAGGATGAGGCGTGGAAAGGCTAGGAGAATCAGTGTGCCCGCTTCATCCGTTGGCTTGTTCTTCAATCGTTTCAACACACAGCAGAGCGCGTCAAGGACGCCTAACCGAGCTCGCTGGGGGATTCGTCGAACGGTTCGCCCTCCCACTGCTTCCACATTGAAAAAGGCCTCCCAATCCCAAGAAGGGACCTCAGCCCACACTTCTTCCTGGATCTCCCGCGGCGTCGGGCGCTCCTGAGTCTGATCCTCGGCCAACGATGGGATGCAACCAAGTGCGTGCGCACGCCTCTCCGCCTCTGCCGTCCGACAAGTCTTCATATGACTTGCAGCAGCCCCTCGTGTGGCAAATGTATGGAAGCAAGTATCACACGGGAAGTGTGGTCGTAAAGAAGGCATATCACCCGCTACTGCCTCCGCCGCCTCTGAGCCCTCAGCCAAAGCCATGGGTGTGTCGAAAGCCGGGGGCATGTACAGAGACTCATCGCGCTGGCCCCCCTCGCCCCCATACTGCCCGGGTTCCCCGGTCACCCCCAGCTGCCCCTCGCCTGGCAGCACTCCTTGGGGTGCCCCAGTCACCCCTGCCTCACCCCCAGCCTGCTGCATCCCCTGGAGTGCCCCCATCACGTCCGGCTGCCCCCCCGCTTGCTGCGCTCCATGAGGTGCTCTAGTCACGTCTGACGGCCCCTCATCCTGCCGCACTCCCTGGGGTGCTTCGGTCGCCCCCTGCTGCCCCCCCAGCTGCTGTATCCCCCTGGGTGCTCCGGCCTCCCCCGGATGCCCCCCATTCTGCCGCACTCCCTGGGCTGGTCCACTCGCCCCCGGCTGCCCCCCAGCTTGCTCCACACCCTGTGGTGTTCCAGCCACGTCCGGCTGCCTCCCAGCTCGCCGCACTCCCCGGGGTGTTCCTGTCACCCCCTGCTGCCCCCCTGGCTGCTCTATGCTGTGGGGTGCTCCGGTCTCCCCCGGCTGCCCCCCGTCCTGCCGCAAACCCTGGGGTGTCCTTGTCGACCCCAGCTGCCCCCCCGCTTGTGGCGTGCCCTGGGGTGCTCCAGTCTCCCCCGGCTGCCCCCCGTCCTGCCGCACACTCTGGGGTGCCCCCGACACCCCCACCTGCCCCCCAGCTTGCGGCGCGCCCTGGGGTGCTCCAGTCATATCCGGCTGACCCCCGTCCCGCCGCACACCCTGGGGTGCTCCACTCACACCCGGCTGCCCCCCAGCTTGCTGCACACCCTGGGGTGCTCCACTCACACCCGGCTGCCCCCCAGCTTGCTGCACACCCTGGGGTGCTCCACTCACACCCGGCTGCCCCCCAGCTTGCTGCACTCCCTGGGGTGCTCCACTCACACCCGGCTGCCCCCCAGCTTGCTGCACACCCTGGGGTGCTCCACTCACACCCGGCTGCCCCCCAGCTTGCTGCATTCCCTGGGGTGCTCCACTCACACCCGGCTGCCCCCCAGCTTGCTGCACACCCTGGGGTGCTCCACTCACACCCGGCTGCCCCCCAGCTTGCTGCACTCCCTGGGGTGCTCCTGTCACCCCCTGCTGCCCCCCTGGCTGCTGTATGCCCTCGGCTGCCCCGCTCTTCCACGGCTGACCTCCAGCTTGCCGCACTCCCTGGGGTGCCCCTGTCACCCCCGGCTGCCCCTGGGGCCGCTCCATGCCCTGGGCTGCTCCAATTGCCTCCGGCTGCCCCCTAGACAACCGAGTTCCCTGGGGTGCCTCAGTCGCACCCGGCTGCCCCTCCGCCAGCCGCGCGGCAGCCACGCCTCCAGTCCGCCCTTGCGATTTACGGGCCTGTCGTCTCCCGCCTCGCCCCCGCACCCGGGTTCTCTTCGCTTGGCTTGTAGTATCTGGGCTAGCAACCTCCTGCTGCCCTCCCACCGGCAGCTCCTGCTGCTCTCTCGTTGGCAGCTCCTGCTGCCCTCCCATTAGCCGCTCCTGCCGCTCTCCCGTTGGCAGCTCCTGCTGCCCTCCCGCCGGTAGCTCCTGCCGCCCTCCCGCAGGCAGCTCCTGCTGCTCTACCCCCAGAAGCTCCTGCTGCTCTCCCCTCAGCGGCTCCTGCTGCCCCCCTGCCTGCAGCCGGGCCTGGTTTCCAAATTGGCGTTGCTGCACCTCTGGCTGCAGCTCGGCCATCTCCACGTCCACCAATTGCTGCTCTCCCGCCGGCAGCTCCTGCTGCCCTCCCGCCGGCAGCTCCTGCTGCCCTCCCGCCGGCAGCTCCTGCTGCCCTCCACTCTGCAGCTGCTGCTGCCCTCCACTCTGCAGCTGCTGCTGCCCTCCGCTCTGCAGCTCCTGCTGCCCTCCCGCCGGCAGCTCCTGCCGCTCTCCCGTTGGGAGCTCCTGCTGCCCTCCCGCCGGCAGCTTCTGCTGCCCTCCCGCCGGCAGCTGCTGCTGCCCTCCGCTCTGCAGCTGCTGCTGCCCTCCGCTTTGCAGCTCCTGCTGCCTTCCCGCCGGCAGCTCCTGCCGCTCTCCCGTTGGCAGCTCCTGCTGTCCTCCCGCCGGCAGCTGCTGCTGCCCTCCGCTCTGCAGCTGCTGCTGCCCCCCGCTCTGCAGCTCCTGCTGCCCTCCCGCCGGCAGCTCCTGCTGTCCTCCCGCCGGCAGCTGCTGCTGCCCTCCGCTCTGCAGCTGCTGCTGCCCCCCGCTCTGCAGCTCCTGCTGCCCTCCCGCCGGCAGCTCCTGCCGCTCTCCTGTTGGCAGCTCCTGCTGCCCTCCCGCCGGTAGCTCCTGCCGCCCTCCCGCAGGCAGCTCCTGCTGCTCTACCCCCAGAAGCTCCTGCTGCTCTCCCCTCAGCGGCTCCTGCTGCCCCCCTGCCTGCAGCCGGGCCTGGTTTCCGGATTGGCGTTGCTGCACCTCTGGCTGCAGCTCGGCCATCTCCACGTCCACCAATTGCTGCTCTCCCGCCGGCAGCTCCTGCTGCCCTCCCGCCGGCAGTTCCTGCTGCCCTCCCGCCGGCAGCTCCTGCTGCCCTCCCGCCGGCAGCTCCTGCTGCCCTCCACTCTGCAGCTGCTGCTGCCCTCCACTCTGCAGCTGCTGCTGCCCTCCGCTCTGCAGCTGCTGCTGCCCCCCGGCATGTGGCTCCACCTCCATCTCCGCCACCAACGCCTGCTGCCCCCCAGTCTGTAGCTCATTCTGCCCCCCAGTCTGCAGCTCATGCTGCCCTCCAGTCTGCAGCTCATGCTGCCCTCCAGCCTGCAGCTCATGCTGCCCTCCGAGGGGTTTTTGTGATGGAACCATTCCCCAGTACCCCTGCGGGGCCACCGTCTTGGCAAAACCGAACCAGCACGCGGTGTAACCGAGCGGCGTCGCCCACTGTCGCACGTTTCGCATGCCAATCCAGCGGAAGACTGTACAGCGGGATGGGCGCGGGGAGGGGCGGAGGAGAATGGCGCAGTTGGGTTGGAGTCAGGCTTCAAGGGGGGATGTGGGGAATGTGGGTGCGGCAGTGCCGAAGAGCCTGGACTGGGAATGAGGTTCCAGTGGGCCGAGTGAGGGAGATGGACCGTGAGAGTGCGAACGAACACGTAGTACGAAGGTCCGTTTTGTGCAGAGCTTTTCAAAAGCACTCCAGTGCGGTGCATTGCTGTGCAGTGCGGTGCACGTCGAGCTGATTGCAGGTCGAATGCGGAGCAGCTTGAACTACCTGTGTGCTTGCTAGCGCATGTAACTACATAAGCAGCAAGTGCAAACCTCGGGTACGATAGTACCTACACGTGAGTCGGCTCTTACCGAGTACATCGCCGGCCACGACGGCCCGGGTGGGCTGCTGCCACGAAGATATGCCATACGCCCACGGGCTGATGAAACTCCAAATGTCAGATCCTTGCCCCACCGTTATCATCTTAGCATCCGCCGAGCCTGGAACATCGGAAGGAACACGAGCGAGTCAGACATAGCATCCGAAAATTCTTGAGTCAGAAATCGGCTCGGAAGTGTAGGATACCCCAACGCACACACAGGGGGTAACCCCGAAGTTCACACAAAGAGTCCCGCAGGTTACCTTTGTGCTCTTGCGACTGCTGCGAGGTGGTAATTCTCGCAACTGGTATTTCGGGACAGGGATGCGGACCAATCAGGGTGTAGCTCAGTTCGTTGTAACCTAGGGGATACCCCCCAGCTTGGGAGGGAGGTTCGTCTTCAGCTTCGGATTAGCATCTGGTTGGGAGTCGAGGCAGATTTTTGTAATCAGGACTTTGTCTCAACTGTCACATTTGCTCGTGTTATTACGAACCTCCCCATAACGAGGTAGATTTGATGGGTTTCGTTGGGAGGCTGGCAGAATATCGCTGACCAATCACAGCTCTCCTCGTCACTTTAGCAGAACACTACATTCGCCACGTACTTTACAACCCTTCTTGGGAAGTGCTCTCATTCTTCATTGTTGATCCATCAGTTCACACGTTGTCTTCTACTCTGTTTCTCCACGCTATGTCTCCCTAGCTCCGCGATCGTCGCTACATGGCGCAGAATTTCCATAGAGCTATGCATGCATGCTACGAGATTAGGTGGCCTATGTTTTCGCTATTTCACCAGCTACGTGCTGGAATTTTCCGTGTTGCCGAGGTTTAAAGACGAGTATTTAACCTGTGTATTCGCTGATTGCTTCTTCATGGCAGATTGCCAGTGGTGGGATCGATGCGTGATTCTTCGCCAACATCGCGTCTGTTCAGCTCTAACTAGTGCTCGTGAGGTAAGTTATTAGACTCTGATTTGCCTAAAATGCTGTCCGAGGGTTGCATGATTAGCGCCGCTCATTCGGTATCCCTTCTTGTCGTCGTTCTTCATAGGCGTTGTTTTATTTGTCAGCCACCCGGCTTGCACTCGCTTTCTCCGCGTCATGGTTTTTCTTTCATTGCCGTTGCAATTCGCCGCCCCTTGCAAATCGTTGCCCTTGCACTGTGCTTGTGCAGACATAACTCTCTATACATCCAAATTAACTCTCAGTTGCCCCAACGACAGCTGTGGTGTGGCGACATGGTAATGTTTCCCTGTCCATGTGGTTCCCTGATTTGGTCTTTTCTTTTACTGACATTTCTCTGCTTGTTTTTTTCGTTGTTGTGGCAGGCAATATTTCTTTACCTTATTCTGAAGTTATGTTATACCAGGTCTGGTGCGGTGCTAAATGAAGTTGCGTTGCGTGCCTTTAGTGGCATACGGTTGAAATGATCAATGTAATGTTAGATTTCATGTGCAACCAACTTATGTAATAAAATGTCATCAATTTCGTTAAATGTGCTTGCATACGATTGTGAAATTATATGAATAGGGGGTTGTTTTAATATTCGAGTAATCAATAAAAACCATGCGTATCAACTTTCCAATAAACGATATAACATTGTACCGCCAGAGTGTACTATTGCAAAAAATGTCCGCGACGCGCTCGAAGGTTGCGTCTGATTCGCTCCAGCAACCTGGGAGGGGAATCATCGCGGCGACTTGGCGGTGACTTGTAGGTTACCTGTGTAGGTAACCTCGAGGTCACAACGAACTGTGAGGTTACCCAAAGGAAACGTATACGGAGTCCTTTGGGTTACCCACAGCGGGGTTTCCTGGAGGTAACCTTGGGGTAGGATTCTGCAACTCAAAAATTTCGGATGAGGGAGAGGATACAGGAGTTAGGGAGAATGGCAGGATAAGGGATAGAAGCGTAATAGATGACGCAAGGTGTGCGAATCGAGATTGGGAGTCAAGAAGCCTTACCTATGCAGACTCCAGCGAGTACAATTCCGAGCAGCAGCAGATGCCGATAGGTGTTGGAATGGTTCGTGACAACCACCCACAAGTGATGGTAAAATCTGGTGTTCAGGTAATTTGTTGTGTGTGAAAGTTCATGTTTGTTCGTGCGTGTTCGTGTTATTTCATGTGTTCTGCGAGTCACGAGTGTTTGTGGAAGTATCGTAAGTGTTCATGAGCGTTTCGTGAAGTGTTCGTGAAATTCCGTGTAAGTTCATAACTTTCCAGGTGAAGTTTTGTGAGGTGCGTTTTTTGTGTGTTTTCATGAATGCATTCGTCATTTCGTGTTTGTCCATGGTAGTTCGGGGAATTTCGCCCCTGGTCAAGTTGTTGAAGGGGTGCCGAACACTGTACACCCTCTTTCTCGCCAGACTGACATTGGCCATATTGACGGACCGGCTGTACTGTCATCAATGCGTCCAGAATGGTCCCAGAACATACCATATAAGCACATTTGCCGCACTCAACCGTACGCAAACGCACGTTTCCTTCCATAAAACGTTGTATACCGTTCCTCTGGAGTGCATTTGCCCGCCACCTACCTGCCCTTCGGTTGCAAGCACCAGATCGCTAGGGTCCAAGGAACAGTACGCTAGGGTCCAAGCAACAGTACGCACTTCCCATTGTCAGTCTGGCGCGAGAGAGGGTGTACTGATTCTGGCGCAATCATGGGAGTGGCGCCAAAGGATCGAAGTGTGCCAGCATGTGCACACGCGAGGCCTGAGGCCGCAGGTGGATTCGCCACACGCGCGCAAGTGGTGTGTGCAGGTGGCGCAAGGGAAAACGCCGAGAATTCGTGGGTCCAGGTTGGATTTCGTGGGACCCTCGAGCATTTTGTCTGCATTAGCCGAGGAGAAATTTCGCCAGGGTGTTTCACGAAGTGCGCGATTTAACTTCGAAGCTGATGCGAAAATTGCGAGGAGGATTTCGACGATCTCGTCATGTCGTCGCGTAACTGCACGAATTCTTCAGGAGATTCCGTGAGCTGTCACGAGCTGTCGCCACGAACGTCCACGAGCGTTCGCGAGCAAGTATGGCCCATACAATTAATTGAGGGCGAGTATGTTGCCAGTGATTTTGCATGGTGAAAGTTGGCATTTCGGAGTATGGTGCTAGCTATCATTTCGGTGGGCTGTTTGCTTTCGTTTTGGTGGGTTAGTATAAATCCTTGTTTGTCTTTGTTTGTAAAAAAACCCTTTTTGACGAGTGATGATTGCTCTTACAACGTATTGACGTGAAGAGAATCTCTGCTTACAAGCCGACATGTCAACATAATGCTGCGCGAATAGTCCTGGAAATACGCGAGTGCTCACGACTCAATTCTCACTTAGTAATTCTCTACCAACATGGACCTGTAGAGACTGCTTAGTGTGAGTTAGTCAATGTGCATATTGTCAACTGAGGACGGTCAGATCCTAACAGCTGGTATCAGAGCTGGTTTAAGTGGCGTTTCAGCATTCTTAAGTGCAGAGCCAAGCTTTCGAGATGGTCGGCGGACAATCGGAAGCCAGCTCGGGCTCCTCTGTGAGCATTGGAGATCCCCAAGTAAAGGCACTTCTGGAAATGCTAACGCAAGGGGGGGTGGTGACCAAGCCCACCATGGGGCTGAGCGAAGCCCAGCGGTTCCACGGCGAGCACTACAGCACGTGGCGATTGAAATTCATAAGGAGGGCGAAGGAGGTCGGCTTGTGGGAGTATTACCGACCGGACGAGAAAGGCGACGAAGCCGAGCGTGCGGCGAAATCGGAAGAGGAAAAAATGGAATTCAAAAAACGGAGTCAGCTAGCGTTTTTCCAGTTGTGTCACTCTGTTGCTGACGGGATTGCAGTGGGTCTTGATGGGTTTGCAGAGCTCGAGAACTCTGCACAAGCGGCATGGGCGTACATGGAGTCCACATACCTCGGGCACATGGACGCGAACATCGCCGACGTGAGGAAGAAGTTGCTGCTGATGACCATGGAGCCGAACCAGAAGATTATTGACTACGTTAACATGGCGAGGAGCTACAACGATGATTTGACTGCGATGGGCGAGCCGGAAACTGAAAGGGCGATGATAGGGCACATCGTCAACGGGCTGCCGGAAGATTGGTCGGGCGAGCGGCCGGCATTGATCTGCCATCCACCGGAAAACATGACAAAGCTGATAGCCATGCTTCAGGCCTTGGAGCGAGCATGAGACCATCAGAAGCGAAGGGAGAAGTTTACCAAGGGCGTGGAACAGGAGAAACCTGCGTTGGTAAACGAGGCAGCCGCTGGAAGAAGCACGGGAGCTTGCTACCAATGTGGTAGGACGGGACACAGGGCGTTCGAGTGCGCGGAAAACCCAAGAAGCAGGAACTACAAGGGGAACGGTGCGGGATGGAGTGGAGCGCAGCAGAATGGTGCAGGAAATGGAAGGGGACTGAAAGGGAAGTTCAACGGAGCGTGCCATCATTGCAAGAAGATTGGGCATAGGGCGATTGACTGCTACTCCAATCCCAACAGCCGGAGCTATAGGGGACCGCAGCAGCAAGGATCAACATCTCCGAAAGCAAATGCAGCAGCAGCAGCAGCAGCAGCAGAGAATGACAAGGAAGATGCCATTCTGGCGCACATAAGGCAAATGTGGCGCGTGCATCAGGTGTGTGCATGCTCGCAAAAGGAGGCGGAGATGCTGCGTGGTTCATGGACAGCGGGTGCACTCAGCACATGACGAATCATTGTGAGTGGTTGACTGGAATGGGGGAGTCAAGTGTGCCGTATGTAATTTTGGGGAATGAAGGGAAGCTACCTGTGAGGGGTGAAGGAGAATTGGTGCTGCAAGGGCAGTATGGGGAATTGAAGTTGGCAAATGTGCTGTATGTGGATGGATTGGCCTTGAACCTGATCAGCCAATCGCAGTTGGACAGCACCGGGTGCAAGACTTTCAGTGACAAAGGGAAGATGTGGGTGTTTGACCATGCATGGAATGTGATTGCTGAGGGGATGAGGAATGATGGATTGTATGAGATGAAGTTGAATGAGAAGGTCTTGGCAGCAGAAAAGGCTACCTACCAGCCACCACCAAAGGAGGGAGTGATGGCAAGGGAGGAGCTGAAGGCGAAGCTGAAAGGAGTGCCGGTAGAGGAGCTGCAAGTGGAAGCTGTTGCAATGGTGGCAGCAGCTACAAAAGTGGATCTAGACACCCTCCATAGGCGTCTAGGGCATGCAGGGATGGAGAGGATTAAGGAGCTCGTGAAGAAGGGCATGTCAGCCGGTGTGGAGCTGAATGAAGGAGATGGGAGTAAGGGGAGGTGCGGCAAGTGTGTGGAAGGCAAGATCTCAAAAACCCCCCATCCCATACACCAGGTTCAGGAACCCTACGGTGCAATGGAGATAGTGGCAGCTGATGTGTGTGGGCCATTGAGGGAAACTTCAAGGCACGGGAGCCGGTACTTCGTCACTTTCACTGACCTAGGGACTAGGCACACGTGGGTGACTAAGGCACTTTTGCGCACGAAGGGGATACTAAGGCAGCTGACGGTACCGTACACCCCACAGCACAACAGCATTGCAGAGAGGGTGAACAGGTCACTCTTGGATAGTGTGAGGACCATGCTAGCTGATAGCGGTCTTCCACTGAAGTATTGGGGAGATGCCTTGGGGATGGCATGCTGGGTGAAGAACAGGCTGTCCACCAAAGGCCTTGCAGCCGATATGACCCCGCATGAGGCTTTTTATGGGAGGAAGCCGAACATGGGGTTTGCAAGGGTGTGGGGCTGCATGGCTCAGTATAGGGAGCCGGTTGGACCGGACCACAAGCTCCTACCAAGGAGAAAATGGGGGATTAACCTTGGGATGTGCAAGGTGAGCAAGGGCTGGGTGCTTAAGGACGTGGAGACGGGGAAGATAGTGGTGACCAGGGACGTCATCTTCTATGAGGATATCAATTACCTGCAGTGGAAGGGAGTGAACAAGGAGATCGCAACGGGAGAAGCAGCTGCGCTTGATAAGGTGGAGAAGCTGCTAGTGGAGAAGGAGAACGAGGGGATAGGGTGTGATGAGGAGGAGATACAAGGTAGTGCGGACAAGCCTACCAAGGAACCTATTTGGTCGGAGCCACAGAAGAAAAAGGTAGTAGAGGCGGCAGCAGATGTGGAGGAAGAAGGGCGCCACGAAGGAGAGCATGGAGAGAAGGGTGCTGAGGAGGAAACTCAGAGTGTGGAGGTTGTGGAAAGCAGTGATGGGTCAGCAAAGGGGGATGGCCCATGGAGATTGATCGGTAGTGACGCTACTAGTGAAGCTGCTAAGGTGATAAATGAGCTGCAGAGGATGGAGCCATGGTGATAGGGAAGGAACGAGGGCTTGACGAGATATATGCAGCGATAAAGGAAGTGAGTAAGGAAGAGACACCTGCTGAGGAGTTGGGGCGCGGTATGAGGATCAAGAAGAAACCAGCTAAGTTTGTTTCACTGGTTATGACACCTTGGAAGGATGTGAAGACCCATCTGCTCTTGGCTGCAACCGCAACGGCACTGGTGTCACAGGGGAGTTTGGAGAAGTATAGCCTGCCTAAGGAACCCGTGACTGTTGAAGAAGCTTTGGCAGGACCACAAAGGGAGCAGTGGATGGCTGCTATTCAAGAGGAGCTGGACACACTTGCAGAGAGAGGCACTTGGGAGCTAGTGCCTATGCCGGAAGGAAGGGCAGCAGTGGGTGTGAAGTGGATATTTAAGATCAAGACTGGGGACATGGGGCAGCTGGAGCGGTTTAAGGCGAGGTTAGTGGCAAAAGGGTATACTCAGGTCGAGGGGGTTGACTACAACGAGACCTATGCCCCTTAGTGCAAGCTTACAACCGCAAGAGCATTCCTAAAGGTGGTAGCAGCAAGGGGTTATTTCTTGGTGCAGCTGGACATCAAGAATGCGTTTCTGCATGGTGTAGTGCGAGAGGAGCTGTACATGGATCAGCCAACCGGGTTTGAAGACGGCACGGACAGGAAGTGTAAGCTGTTGAAGGCGTTGTACGGGCTGAAGCAGAGTCCAAGAGAGTGGTACAAGGCGATGGATGAGAGGTTGCTGACAGGAGGGTTCCAGAAAAGTGAGTGTGACCGAGCGTTCTATTGGAGGGGAGAAGGAGAGAAGAAGGTGTACTTGCTACTCTATGTGGATGATATCCTCATAGCAGGAGCATTACCGGCTGAGGTGGAGAGAGTGTGTGACCATCTTGCTGAAGTTTTTCAGGTGAAGCAGATTCCTAAAACGACGCTGTTTTTGGGGATGAACCTGGAGCGGAACGTGGAAGAGAAGAAGCTCTTCTTGTACCAGAAAAAATATTGCAACCGGGTGCAGCAGAGGTTTGGCCAGGGTTTCACCAAGGAGATTACTACACCACTCAGCGCGGCAGCCAATGATACCGAGCAGGAAGAGGATGTGAAGCAGTGGGGAGGAGAAAAGAAGGCGCTGCAGATGTACCTGTCGATGGTGGGATCGGTTATGTATCCGGTTTCATGCACAAAGGTCGACATGGCGTATGCGGCGAGTTACTTGGAGCAGCATGTGCAGCAGGGAAGGAAATGGCGGGAGATGAAGTGAGCACTTAGTTATTTGGTGCAGCATGACGAGGAGGGACTTCTCTTTGAGGGAGGAGAGGAGACTTTGCAGCTGGTGGGGTATGCGGATGCCTCACACGCATCGGACAAGAAAACAGGGAAAGGCGCATATGGGTATGTGTTCCTTCTTGGGGGCACTGCCATCATGTGGCAAGCAAAGAAATTGGCGGACATAGCATTGTCAACTGCAGAATCGGAGTACATGGCACTGTTCTTTGCGTGCCAAGAGGGATTGTGGCTGAGGAGGCTGCTGAAAGAGTTCGAGATACCTGTTGAGGGGCCCACTATTGTGAGGTCGGACAGCAAGTCAGCCATTGACTTGGCCAGAAATGACAACTGGCATGGGAGGACGAAACACATGAATGTGAAGTACCATTGGGTGCGGGAGCAGCTCGAGAAGCAGCAATTCAAGTTTGAGTTTATTCCCACGGGGGAGCAACCAGCGGACTTCTTGACCAAGGTGTTACCTAGGTCTAACTTCGAGTACTGCAAGGAGAAAGTTGGGATTCGTCAGTTGAAGGAGCTGCAGGGGAGTACGAAGCTGGCTTAGACATCAAGGAGCAGGGGAGCATGGTGACGTGTGTGGTTGCCGAACCACAGGGGAGATTGTTGGAATGGTTCGTGACAACCACCCACAAGTGATGGTAAAATCTGGAGTTCGGGTAATTTGTTGTGTGTGAAAGTTCATGTTTGTTCGTGCGTGTTCGTGTTATTTCATGTGTTCTGCGAGTCACGAGTGTTTGTGAAAGTATCGTAAGTGTTCATGAGCGTTTCGTGAAGTGTTCGTGAAATTCCGTGTGAGTTCATAACTTTCCAGGTGAATTTTTGTGAGGTGCGTTTTTTGTGTGTTTTCATGAATGCATTCGTCATTTCGTGTTTGTCCATGGTATTTCGGGGAATTTCGCCCCTGGTCAAGATGTTGAAGGGGTGCCGAACACTGTACTGATTCTGGCGCAATCATGGGAGTGGCGCCAAAGGATCGAAGTGTGCCAGCATGTGCACACGCGAGGCCTGAGAATTCGCCACACGCGCGCAAGTGGTGTGTGCAGGTGGCGCAAGGGAAAACGCCGAGAATTCGTGGGTCCAGGTTGGATTTCGTGGGACCCTCGAGCATTTTGTCTGCATTAGCCAAGGAGAAATTTCGCCAGGGTGTTTCACGAAGTGCGCGATTTAACGTCATGTCGTCGCGTAACTGCACAAATTCTTCAGGAGATTCCGTGAGCTGTCACGAGTTGTCGCCACGAACGTCCACGAGCGTCCACGAGCGTTCGCGAGCAAGTATGGCCCATACAATTAAGTGAGGGCGAGTATGTTGCCAGTGATTTTGCATGGTGAAAGTTGGCATTTCGGAGTATGGTGCTAGCTATCATTTCGGTGGGCTGTTTGCTTTCGTTTTGGTGGGTTAGTATAAATCCTTGTTTGTCTTTGTTTGTAAAAAACCCTTTTTGACGAGTGATGATTGCTCTTACAACGTATTGACGTGAAGAGAATCTCTGCTTACAAGCCGACATGTCAACATAATGCTGCGCGAATAGTCATGGAAATACGCGAGTGCTCACGACTCAATTCTCACTTAGTAATTCTCTACCAACATGGACCTGTAGAGACTGCTTAGTGTGAGTTAGTCAATGTGCATATTGTCAGCTGAAGACGGTCAGATCCTAACAATAGGCCATGGCTCGTGATGAGATGCGGGAAGAAAAGTTATGGCGCTGCGTGATAGTAATCGCAGGAGAGACTGGGCTCGAAGTTGGGATCACAAAGAAGGCCCATTTTCAATCGTGGGGAAAGGGGTTGAAGTTGGGTTTGCGTGGGTGCTGCAATTTTTTTTCGCCCAACCTCCAGCGAAATGAGTCGCTTCCCAATGTTTGCATTTTTTCGCGCCATCCAACCGATTTTTTTTTTTTTTTTTTTTTTGGCAATGCAAGATCCACTATAATAGTGCATACAAGCATTAACAGTCGTAACTGTAGCTGGTGAAAAACGGTGCACGGATTTGCCCAGATGGACATCGGAAAAATGTCGAAGTGCATTTTTGTAGGCAGAATCAGGGCGCGCGAACGGTATGCTTTTGGGGCATCGTAAACGTGTACCGAAACACTACCAGTTTGTATCTTTTCTGCTTCGCTTGTACGATTACATAGTTTTTCAGTAACATAATGTTACAAATGTTTGTATTCTTTTTGTACAAAATCTCAAATTCACTTATTAGGGCTGATATCTTGGTGTGGTTGTTTCATACTTATCTTTATATTGCTCGCCTACATACTTATCATTGTTTATATGATGACTATGAATCCATAGAGCTCATTTGCAACATTTTCCCATATCTATGAACACTGATTTGCATTTCCAGCCAATACATCTCCTTTAATAGAGGTCTTACAGATTCTAGTGATGAGATGAGATCTACTCAAACAAATAATCATTAAGGAGGAAAGTTCCTGGACGATCGAACGACTCAACAATGTGGACTGCGCGTAATACAGTATCAATATCGATGATGTCTCGGTAATCCCGGGTACTCCCAGGGGCTTTTGCCACCCTCAGTTTTTTGCACCCTGTCACAGGGTCCACTCCAAGCTCATCGTAGTACTGGACGTAAGCGTAGCTGACGTCACTGTTATTGATTTTGAATAGCGTCAGGATCTCGCCGTACCAGATCTGGTTACCGCTGCCGAGGATTGCTGCATGGGAGAACCATGGCTGCCCATGGTGTGAGGGGTTCGCACGTACGAAATGGGTCACTCGAGAATGGTACGCCATCGTGCCAGCAGGTATAACGACCCCCGTGAATATCTGAACAGGGGTTGATGGGGAAAATACTTTCATGGTTTAGGGTAGAGATGATATAGGCACGTGGCTGTACAGAGCACCGCGGCAGGTGTCTGCGTGATAAGGTGAGGGGGTGAGAGTGGGCAGAATGAGGTGGGAGTGGGTGAGGTGGACAGAATAAGGTGACAGGGGATGAGAATAGGCAGAACGAGGTGAGAGGGGATGAGGGTGATAATGGTAACGCGAGGGAGAATGAGGGTCGGGCAGAATGATGTGAGAGGGGACGATAATGGGGCAATAATGAGGTGAGATGGGATGAGGGTGGACAGAATCGGGTGAGAGGGGATGAGGGGGGGCAGAATGATGTGAGAGGGGATTAGTTAACGGAATGGGGTGAGAGGGGATGTGGCGCGGGTTGAATGAGGTGAGAGGGGATTTGAGTTGGCAGAGATGTATTGTTATCTCGAACGAAGATATCCTTACATGTAATGTGGGGGGGTTTAAATCCGCTCTTCCGAGATCATCCTGCAGTGTGTCCAACCGTCCACCCAAGGCTGTGTTGTGGATGCTGAAGTGGTCCGTTTTGCTGCGGCGAGCAGAGCTGCCCTCCATGTGAAACACGTCAAAAGTCCGAAGATAAACGCGCTTGCACTCGGTGTCCGCCTGTGCAGGACTCGCAGATAGACAAGGTGAGAGGGGATGAGAGCATGCAAGGTGAGGTGAGAGGGAATGAGAGCATGCAGGGTGAGGTGAGAGGGGATGAGAGCATGCAGGTTGAGGTGAGAGGGGATGAGAGCATGCAGGGTGAGGTGAGAGGGGATGAGAGCATGCAGGATGAGGTGAGAGGGGATGAGAGCATGCAGGGTGAAGTGAGAGGGGATGAGAGCATGCAGGGTGAGGTGAGAGGGGATGAGAGCATGCAGGGTGAGGTGAGAGGGGATGAGAGCATGCAGGGTGAGGTGAGAGGGGATGAGAGCATGCAGGGTGAGGTGAGAGGGGATGAGGGTGAGCAAGATGAGGTGAGAGGGGATGAGAGCATGCAGGATGAGGTGAGAGGGGATGAGAGCATGCAGGATGAGGTGAGAGGGGATGAGAGCATGCAGGATGAGGTGAGAGGGGATGAGAGCATGCAGGATGAGGTGAGAGGGGATGAGAGCATGCAGGATGAGGTGAGAGGGGATGAGAGCATGCAGGATGAGGTGAGAGGGGATGAGAGCATGCAGGATGAGGTGAGAGGGGATGAGAGCATGCAGGGTGAGGTGAGAGGGGATGAGAGCATGCAGGGTGAGGTGAGAGGGGATGAGAGCATGCAGGGTGAGGTGAGAGGGGATGAGAGCATGCAGGGTGAAGTGAGAGGGGATGAGAGCATGCAGGGTGAGGTGAGAGGGGATGAGAGCATGCAGGGTGAAGTGAGAGGGGATGAGAGCATGCAGGGTGAGGTGAGAGGGGATGAGAGCATGCAGGGTGAGGTGAGAGGGGATGAGAGCATGCAGGGTGAAGTGAGAGGGGATGAGGGTGAGCAAGATGAGGTGAGAGGGGATGAGAGCATGCAGGACGAGGTGAGAGGGGATGAGAGCATGCAGGATGAGGTGAGAGGGGATGAGAGCATGCAGGATGAGGTGAGAGGGGATGAGAGCATGCAGGATGAGGTGAGAGGGGATGAGAGCATGCAGGATGAGGTGAGAGGGGATGAGGGTGGGCAGGATGAGGTGAGAGGGGATACGTGACAGCATGAAACAGTGTCAGGGGATGGTGGTGAGCATGACATGATCGTGGGCAGTAAACGCTGGGATAATGAACCAGGGCCGTGAGACAGGGTGGGGTGGAAGGAGGCGGGGGGGGGGGGGGGGGGGGGGGGTAGGGGGATTGGGGCGGCTGTATGAGGGTACAGAGTAGTGTTTAGCGTCAAGGGCTCACCTCGTAAAAAGCAGAGTTGTATTCTTTCTCCTCCTGGATTTCAGAATCCACCTCTGCCAAGATTTCCTGAAACTGGTTGCTCTTAATGATAGCATTGGTCCACTGTCGCCTATTCGAAGCACGATAGGGCCTTTTGACAGTGTTTTTGTGAGAGTGCTCATACACGTTCGTTGAGTACTCCGGTAAGCCTCCGTTTGATGGCATCACAATAGTGAACCACCATATGCATCTTGATGAACCCCCATTCTGATTTTTGCCCAGGAAACGCCTCCTTCAGCTTTGCACACATGCTGCCAAAGGAGATGGGATGATGCACAAAGGGACAATCTGAGGGTAACTGTTTTTCCAGCAAGGGCAGTGAAAAGGTTCTTTGCACGATAATACCATGCTGGAGCGTATGGGAGCATGGACTCACATGATGGCCAGTTGCTGACACTTATCCAGCGATTCATCGGTGTGATACCGAGGTCGAAACGTGGCCTTGTACCACCTCAAGTACGCTTGCACCGCTGACAACACCGGAGGCTCAACAAGTCCTTCAAGGAGGAAGATGGAGACTTGCATGACTGCCCGGTGCTCAGCAGCAGACACGTTAGCTCCAGAGGCGAAATAGGTGAAGTTATGTGGCAGAGCAAGGCCCGCGATACGACCATGGCTCCACATCCATTTCAACCGCCTGAGGTAACAGGGGTGTTTGGTCAGGTGTGTTGTAGGTGCAGTGCAATGCTCAGTTGTACATATTCTACAAATCAGAAACGCACACAACACATGACTCACTCGTCCAACTTCCCGGTCTTGGCTGCTGGAAGGGTTCCAATAGCATCCCGGATGTGCCCCCATACACCAACATCCGACTGGTGGAGCACATCTGGCATTTGTGCCATGTAGGGATTCCCCCACGGGGTTTCAGCGAACTTCCAATCCCACAGAAAGGGCTGAAATTGGAAGGACCAAATAGAGTCACGATATCACACGTTGATATAAACAGCATCAGGCTATGTAAACAACAGGAGTGCACACCACTTACAGCTATGGGAAATGTTGAGTAAAGCTTGGCGTAATCCGACGCCATCTTCAACGTCGTTTGAAGAAACATATTGAACTTAGCCACGATAAATCGTTGGCTACCTACTGTTCTTAGATTCGGTTTCGTGGCTAGATCAGCCAAGTCCTCTTTGGATACATAGCACAACGAACAAGGCTTAGCCGACCCATGCTGGAAGGTGCAAGACACTTTGCACGTTTCTGGGTAGTCACCGGCGTAGCAGTAAAGTAGAGGCCATACGGTACGTACCATACCCGTGGGGTCTTTCCAGTAGCAGCCCGTGGCACTGTTCCATATGTCAATACGACAATGTTAACAACGCAGTACCAGGAAACACAGAGCGCAAACCAGGGGCATAGTGTTAGCATGATCCCAACATTTAGCATTTAGATCGGAAGCACATGGTGTCTTGGAACACAGATCGCAAACCAGGGGCATAGTGCATGATGAGGCATTGTGGCATCAACCCAACCGAACAGTACCCACCTGTTGCTGGCATCGATAAGTGGTTTGAGAACGATCTTCATACATTCTTGGAACAACTCGGTCTTGACTGCGCTTGACATTTAGACTGTGGAATTGGTAGCAAGGCCACCATTTGCTTGGCACTGGCTTTCCAACGATGTTCCATTGCTATGTTGCCGAGTGTGATCACAACAGGCCATGCTTTCTGGTTGTCGTTTTTAGACAGCTGAGTCACATCGGAGTAGACTATGAGAGCTGCTATTACTTCATCACTGAACCCTAGTGCTTTCTGCCAAATAGGAGTGAAGGCCAATTTAAGGGAATCAATTCCGTATTGTTGGGTCATTGCTGGGGTCAGAACAATACTAACAAGACAGAATGAAGTCGACATCAATCCGCGAACAGAAGCATGAGTGTACTGAGGGAGCAGGGAGTGGGGATAGGATAGCAGGGAGTGGGGATAGGATAGCATGGAGTGGGGATACGATAGCAGGGAGTGGGGATACGATAACAGGGAGTGGGTGTAGGATAGCAGGGAGTGGGGATAGGATAGCAGGGAGTGGGGATACGATAGCAGGGAGTGGGAATAGGATAGCAGGGAGTGGGGATAGGATAGCAGGGAGTGGGTGTAGGATAGCAGGGAGTGGGGATAGGATAGCAGGGAGTGGGGATAGGATAGCATGGAGTGGGGATACGATAGCAGGGAGTGGGGATACGATAACAGGGAGTGGGTGTAGGCTAGTAGGGAGTGGGGATAGGATAGCAGGGAGTGGGGATACGATAGCATGGAGTGGGGATACGATAGCAGGGAGTGGGGATACGATAGCAGGGAGTGGGGATAGGATAGCAGGGAGTGGGGATAGGATAGCAGGGAGTGGGGATAGGATAGCAGGGAGTGGGGATACGATAGCATGGAGTGGGGATACGATAGCAGGGAGTGGGGATACGATAGCAGGGAGTGGGGATAGGATAGCAGGGAGTGGGGATAGGATAGCAGGGAGTGGGTGTAGGATAGCAGGGAGTGGGGATAGGATAGCAGGGAGTGGGGATAGGATAGCAGGGAGTGGGGATAGGATAGCAGGGAGTGGGGATACGATAGAAGGGAGTGGGGATAGGATAGGAGGGAGTAGGGATACGATATCAGGGAGTGGGGATACGATAGCAGGGAGTGGGGATATGATAGCAGGGAGTGGGGATATGATAGCAGAGAGTGGGGATAGGATAGCAGGGAGTGGGGATACGATAGAAGGGAGTGGGGATAGGATAGGAGGGAGTGGGGATACGATAGCAGGGAGTGGGGATACGATAGCAGGGAGTGGGGATAGGATAGCAGGGAGTGGGGATAGGATAGCAGGGAGTGGGTGTAGGATAGCAGGGAGTGGGGATAGGATAGCAGGGAGTGGGGATACGATAGAAGGGAGTGGGGATAGGATAGGAGGGAGTGGGGATACGATAGCAGGGAGTGGGGATAGGATAGCAGGGAGTGGGGATACGATAGCAGGGAGTGGGGACAGGATAGCAGGGAGTGGGGTTAGGATAGCAGGGAGTGGGTGTAGGATAGCATGGAGTGGGGATACGATAGCAGGGAGTGGGGATAGGATAGCATGGAGTGGGGATACGATAGCAGGGAGTGGGGATACGATAGCAGGGAGTGGGGATAGGATAGCAGGGAGTGGGGATAGGGTAGCAACAATAGGAAACGTGATGCAACAGAGAGTTCAAAGAGGCATTACAAGCGTGATCTCACCTGTGCCTCAAGCCACCAATTTCCATGCTGTGGGCGGGTGTAGACTCTTTTGTTAGCACGGTTCCTCTTTTCGCTTGGAAATGTTATAGACACAATAGGCTTGAATGTGCCTAAAACGAAAGATAGAGAGCACAGACGGATTTCTGCACAGCGGCTTCAAACGTTGATAGCGTTCTGCTCACAGCTGCAAATGACTTGATTCAAATTGGATCTGGAGCGTCTTCACGTCGTCTACAATTAGCAATTTAGATTGCACGATTTGATAAAGAATTGACGACACAGCGTCGGTTTGAACGAACGGTACTATGGCAGCCACTATAGTCTTAGAACAAAAGATAGGAAGAGTTACGAGTTGGGAATGACTCCCAGCTCCTACAAACCCCAAGAGCCGAGGTACAGTGATGTGGAACAGTGCCACACTGTCCCCAACCACGAAGGGTCTCGAAACTACCCTTCACTAGGGCCTACACCAAGTGAAATGTTACACTACACAAAGTAATGTAAATATCTTCAATATCTTGAGGTGTACCCTTTTTGGCGAGCTTCGAAATCACTTGAGGCTTGACACCAAGGCTCGGGCTCTTCATCACAAACTCATCCTTGAGTTCTTAATGGGTCTGCTGCACACACCTGCGACACGCCGAACGTTCGACACAGGACAAAATAGAAACCGCGCACGACAAAGTAGAAACCGCGCGCGAGACACAAACGACCGCGTAACACGCGTCTAGCGATAACTCGCTATTGACTCGACACACACACTCGACATCATGACTCAACATTCACACACAATTATAAGCATGAAATATATATTATCCCATGCCCTCATACCATTCCATACACACACACATTCACGCACACGGACAACAAGCCGAGTGCAAACCGTAGGGTTGCACCAACAAACTCCCCCTCGGATTGTTGGCCTTAGGATATGTTGCTCTCTCAGTTCAGAGCCATCCCAGCCAGCTTGCAACACTTCCAATGCTGCTGCTCCACCAGCCTCTTGGTCATCATGTCAGCCGGCTGCCCCGTGGTCTTCACGTAGCGCAACTCAACTTCACCCGCGGTTACCATGCTCCTCGTCCAATGCCACTTCACCCTCATGTGCTTCGTGAGTCCATGCAACACAGGGTTCTTAGCAAGAGCAATGGCACCCTGGCTGTCGCAGTACAGTGGGGTAGGTCCTTGCTGCTCCTCCCCCAATTCAGCCAACAAACGCCGCTGCCACACAATCTCCCGTACGGCACGGAAGAGTGCCATGTACTCGGACTCCACCGAGCTCAAAGCTTGGTCAACCTGCTTCTTGCTCTCCCAAGCAGTTGGGCCTCCACCAACACAGCATATGAAGCCTCCCACACTTGTCATGTCCTCTGGTTCTGATGCATATGAAGCATCCGAGTAGGCGGTGAGGAACAAACGCCCGGGTTCAACGCCATCCGCGCCCTTTTGGCGCCTTTGTGCCGCCGCCGAGTATTGCAGCCCAACGGTCGGTGTTTGGCCAAGATACTTGGCCACCCTCATTCCAGCTGCTACCTGCTCCTCATTAGGGCATTGCACAACCCTAGCCAGCTGCCCGGTAGCAAACGCGACGTCCGGTCGGGTGTTTACCGCCGCATACATGAGGCTGCCCACCAACGAGTGAAATCGGCGCCTCTCCTCTTCACCAACGCTCTCCTCCTCTGGTCCCTTCACACACTTGAACCCAGAGGGAAAGGGTGTAGCCACATGGCCTTCACTCTGCCCAAAGTTGGCAGCCAATGCCTCCAGGTACTTTCGTTGATGCACCCGCATGCACCGCTTCTCCACATCTCGTTCGATGTGGAGCCCAAGGTAGAAGCTCACGTCACCAAGGGCCTTGCACTTGAACTTGTCTTGAAGCTTCAGCATCACCTCCTTCACAAGGTCAGAAGAGGGTGAGAAAATGAGGATGTCATCCACATAAACCACCATGAAACTCCTCTGCTCCCCCTCGCCAAGCATGAACAAGGAGTGATCGGCCGTTGAGGGAGTGAAGCCGATCCCCTCCAACACTTCGCGCAGCTTCATGTACCATTGCCTAGGGGCCTGCTTCAGCCCATAGAGGGCCTTCTTCAGCTTCCACACTCTGCCACTACCATCATCAAACCCCTCTGGCTACGCCATAAAAATCTCCTCCTCAAGGATGCTGTTAAGGAATGCCGTTACGATGTCCATTTGCTTTACTACCCATCCTTTGATGGCGGCTCCCGCGAATAGGGTTCGCAGCGTCGTCGGCTTCACCACAGGGGCAAACAGCTCCTTGAAGTCCACCTTCTCCTTCTGCTGGTACCCCTTGGCTACAAGCCTAGACTTGTAGCGCTCGATCTTGCCGTCGGCATCCGACTTGATTTTGAAGAGCCACTTGGACGTTATCGCCGTACGCCCCTCCGGTAGCTCCACCAATTCAAACGTGTCATTCTCCTCGATGCTCTTCAGCTCACTCTCCATGGCCTTCTTCCACTCCTCAGCATCACTACTCTCCAAAGCCTCCTTGAGAGTTGCTGGTTCTCCCGGCATCTCCACCGGAGAGAAGAACGCGAAGGCACACTCCTCGTAGTCACTCTCCTCGTCGTCTCCGACCATCATTGCCGCTCCGGCCAGGGCTGTCTTGCCCTGCTTTCCCGGCGCATCATAGGTCAGCCTATTAGGGGGTTGAACTCTCCTCTTCCCCCTTCCTTCCTCCTCAGCTGCAGGGACTTGAAGGCCTTGGCGTTGCTGCGGTGTGGCTCGAATCCGTGGAGCACTCGTAGTACGGGAAGGGAGTGACGGTGCACGCTCGCTCACTTGCTGCACCTCCTCCTCTTCTTCCTCTGCATCATTGGCCTCCTCTCCCCCATTCACAAGGGAGGATTGCCTTGTGGTTGTGCTGCCGCTGCTCAGCTCCAAAGGCAGCTCCACATGCTCCAAACCGGAACTCTTCACCTCCCCAGACCGCACGCCTATCTTCGCCTCATTCTCCGCCTTCCAATCCTTGTACATGAAGTTCTCCATGAACTTGCAGTCCCTGCTCACCAAGAACTTCTTGGTGAATGGGTCCCAAAGAAGCCATCCCTTGCTGTTTTGAGCCATGCCCAAGTGCACGGCCCACACCGCCTTGGCACCAAGCTTGTTGTGCCGAAGATGCTTAGGCACGAGCGCCATGCACATGCACCCGAACACCCGAAGCATATCCACCTTTGGCTTCCTTCCTAGCCACTCCACATAGGGCACCCATTTGTCTGCTCCCACATGAGTCAAGGCTCTGTTCTTGGCCACACACGCGCTCCGCACCGCATCAGGCCAGAAATAGTCGGGTAGCCCGGCTTCAATGAGCAACCCGCGTGCCGCCTCCGTGATTGTGCGGTTCGCTCGCTCGGCGATGCCGTTCATTGCAGGGGAGTATGGCATGGTGAGGGAGTGCCAAATACCATTCTTCTTCAGCCACAACCCAAACTCCTTGCTCAGGAACTCTCCCCCTCGATCGGTGCGGATTGACTTGACTAGACGGTCTTGTTGCCGCTCCACCATCGGGAACCAATCCGTCTTCAACGTTTCAGCCACGTCGCTCTTCTTGGCCAGCACGTACACCCAAGTCATGCGGGTGTAGACGTCGACAATGGTGAGAAAATACTCAGCTCCAGCAGCTCCAAGCTTCAGGGGGCCCACCACGTCCATCACCACCTCATCAAGCGGTGCCTTTGCCGTTGCCTCCGAACTAGGGAACGGAAACCGGGTGAACTTGGCTTGAATGCACGTCGGGCAGCCAAGCACCTCATCGGGCTCCCCCTTCACACGTATGCCAGCAACCATCTCATTCTTCACTAGCTGCTGCAAGATGGGCAGGGCCACATGCCCCATGCGCCGATGCAAGGTGAGCCAATCACACTCCCCCGTAGCCGAAGTTGGATTGGAGAATGCCGCGCTCGCAATAGCGCCCCACATACTCTCTCCGTAGTCCTCCTCCGCTGCTGCCTCTGGGTTCTCCTCACCCTTTTGCTGCTCCTTGGTTGCTGCACCACTCTCCTTAGGTTCACTGAACTTGCTGGTCCCTCCAGGTTTGCTCTTCTTGAGCTCATTCTCCTTAGCGCGACCGTTCGCGCCATCGTCGCTACCGACCGCTCCATCCTTGGTGCTGATGCTTGCTGCCACTTGCCTCTCCTTAGGCATAGGGACCACTGGGATCTGCCACATCTCGTTGTAGACATCCCTGTCCTCATGAAGGTCCCAAAGAATTCGATCGCCAAGCCTTGCGGTGTAGGTCTTGGCTCCCTTCGAGTTCGTGTCCATGCCGGCCTTTGCCAACCGCCGCACGGAAATCAGGTTTGCAGCAAGGCTGGGCACCCAAAGCACGTTCTTGAGGCCCACCATCTTCCCATCAGCACCCTTGAACATGGCCTTGCCCATGCCTTTCACCTCTGCTCGCTGCCCCAAAGCTGATGTGACATGCTTCACCGGTGACGGCTCGAGTTCGGTGAGCAAGTTCGGGCGAGGTGTCTATAGGTAGCGCCACTATCAATCACCCAATAGTCCAGGGGGTGTAGGGTCACCTTCCCCACAGCTGCTGGCTCCTCAAAGCCTTCATCCTTCTCTGGACCAGCCGGTACTTGCGTCGACACGAAGTAGAATAGACCCGGGTATCGATCGTCGCTCGGGTCCTTGTCGTTGTCTCCGCTCTTCATGTTTGCAGCTCCGCCACCGCGACCGCCACGGCCTCCACGGCCTCGTCCTCTCCCTCCTCCTGCTCCTCTACCCTCTTGGCCTTGAGCAGGGGTCCAACCATCAGGGAGTTTGTAGCAGTCGCGCCACATGTGTCCGCTCTTGTGGCAATAGTGACACTCGCCGTCGAATCGGCCGCGACCGCGTCCGTAGCTCTTGTCGTCGCTGCCGTAACCGCCACTCCTGCGGCCTCCGCCGACGTTGCTGCCACCAAACCTTCCTCCCCCTCGTCCTCTGCCTCTTCCTCGACCATATCCACGGCCGATGCTCGCTGCCCCAGCGCCATCCGCACTCGCCAACTCACGGCGGCGGAAATCTTCTTGAAGGATAGCTCGCTTCACGTCTTCAAGCGAGAGGTGGGGCAAGTCGCGATTAA